GCAGTGGAGAGCAGCATCACCTGCTGGCCCACTCTCCTTTCCCTTTGGCCAGTGGCATGAATTGCTTCTCTGAGCCCTGCTCCTTCCTGGCACGGAGTCGATTTCCTGAGCCCGGGGCAGCCCAGCCAGCCAAACCTCTTAGCTCGATGGCCTCTCAGGGCTCTACGTCGTAGAAGACCCCCTGGGTAGTTTGGTGCAGACACTCTCAGTACCCAAGATATCCTTTTTGTCATTTTTCCCTCTTCCTCCTTTTATTCTGCCTCCTCTGCTGCCCTTTCCCTACCGCTCCATGTGTTCCTCTCTCCCACAAGGCACACAGGTACACACACCACTACCACCAAGAGCAGAAATTCCTGCCCACCAGGCGGTTTTGTTTTTTATATCGTTTATTTTATTCAGTTTGGGTACTTTCATTCTATTATAATACTTTCATAACAACCAAAAAAATAAAACAAACCACCAGTCATATGTAAAATAAACCAAGAAGAATAAGCTTGGACTTCTTAGCCGAAACGATGTAGGTAAGAAGACAATATACCAAAACTCACTGCTGTGGAGTTGATGCTGACTCACAGTGACCATAGACGGACAGGGTTGCTCTTCCCTGTGAGTTTCTATGACTAGCTCTTTGGAGGAAAAGCCCCATCGTCTGTGGAGGGGCTGCTGGCTTCGATCTGCTGACCTTGTGGTTATCTGCCGAATGCATGACCACTGTGTCACCAGGGCTCCAAAAATGAGTGGAATGGCTTTTTAATAAAATTCTGAAAGAAAAATTTTAAAACTGCCAAAGAATCCTATATCTAGTAATATTATCCTTCAAATACATGGGAGAAGTAGAAATATTTCCAGACAAGAAAAAACTAAAAGAATTTATAAAAACAAGACTAACATAACAAAAAATATTAACCAGGTCACCATGGACAGATAATCAACAATAGCATGCATCCTGAGCACACACCACACACCACCCAGAACCAGCACAATGACAGCAGCACTCGGCACAACACGGAACTAGATGAGGAACAAAGACAGTGACACCATCATAGGAAGGGGGAGAGAAGCCAAGCAATGGCAACCATAAAAAGGCAGAAGTGGCAATATTCAGCTAAAATAGACTTCAAGGCAAATAATGAGGAACAAGAATGGAGACTACATATAAAGGGAAATTCCCCAACATAATAAAGCTGTGTATGAAATCCGACAGCCAGCATCATCACCCTCAACGAGGAACAACTGAAAATGTTTTCCCTGAAAACAGGAACTAGAAGAGAATGGCCACCATCACCACTGTTAGTCAACCCTATGCCGGAGCCCTTAGCCAGAACCATTAGACAACAGAAAGAAATCCAGGGGATACGACTGGACAAAGAAGAAAAGAAACTCGCTATTTGCATATGATATGATTTTATAGAGAGCAGTGGTTCTCAACCTTCCTCATGCCGCAACCTTTTCATATAGGTCCTCATGTTTTGGTGACCCCAACCATAAAATTATTTTCGTTGCTACTTCATCATCAGTGTAAGTTTGCTACTGTTATGAATCAGGTAACCCCTGTGAAAGGGTCGTTTGACCCCCAAGGAGGTCGCGACCCACAGGTTGAGAACCACTGATAAAGAGAATTCCGATGATGCCACAAAAAGACCATTGGGAACAAATGAAGGATTTGGTAAAGTAGCAGGATATAAAATCAACAAGCAGAAATCAATCGGATTCCTATATACCTGTGATGAGAGCTACGAAAAATACATCAAGAAAAAATATCATTTACAGTAGCCACAAAAAGATGAACCACTTAGGGAGAAACCTAAGAAAGAAACAAAAGACCTGCACAAAATGAACCCCCGGTAGTTTAGAGACCTAATTGTAAACTCTAGAGCTCTAAGGACCATCCAGGAGAAATTGTAATGGCCATGGATTAACAAGTATAATCAAGAAAACACAGAGTAGAAGACAAGGTAGATGACTGGGATCAATTAAAAACAAAACACTTATGCACATCAGATAACTTCATCAAAAGAGTAAAAAGCCCGTGGATTGGGCAAATTCCTTAGCAGTGGCACAGTGGACGGGATTAATTACAACAATCTTTAGAACTACAACATCTCAATAAGAGAAAAACAAAACCGAAGGTGGTTGAAGGATAGAACTCAAATAGCTATGAAATAAGTACGAATAAGTATCATAATGGTAGTGTTTGATACCTGACAGAATCTTTCATTATTGGTAGTTGAGCAATCAAAATCGCAATAATCTATACGGTTGCCATAAGTTGGAATCAAGTTGATGGCAGTTTGGTTGGTTTGCCAAACTTCACTATAGTAACAAGCTTGATTTATTGGATGCATGGTAGCAAAGCTTTGCATCATACAATTAGAGCAGTGCTTCTGAAGCTTTGTTTTATAACTCGCCTAGGAAATGATAGTCCTACGGCGCACTGGGTTAATTGCTAGGTGATTCCACAGGATTGACCTGAGTAACATTTCAGTCAACCTGTAACACTGGTTGTAAAGTGCAGGTAACCTCTGGGTTAAGAATATCTGAATTATGGATAACTCGTACTTGTCTGTAAGTGTCATCTAAATTTGCCCTCACTTTGAAAAATTTGAACCAACCACTAACTGTGACAAATTCTTGATTATACTCGTAATCATCTCCCCCAGCTGTGCATGGAAATGGAGGCTTGGTGGCCATGTAGTGGTGACACATTGGGCCGTGATCCACAAGGTCAGCAATTCGAAACCCACCCAGCTGCTCTGTGGAAGAAAGATGAGGCTTTCCAGTCTGATAAATGTTACCGGCGTGGAAAATCACAGGGGCCCTTCGGCCTTGTCCTCTGGGGTTGCTATGGGTTAGCATCAACTCAATGGCAGTGAATTTCTTTCTTTTTTTTTTTTTTTTTTGAGCTTGCATGCAGCTTTTAGATCACTAATAGTGCTTCAAGAATTTTCTTGTACTAATTCACTGCTATTGAGTCGATTCAGATTTTTATAGGGACCATTTAGTTCAGAGTAGAACTGCCCCGAGTTTCTTAAGCTGTATTTCCTGTAAATAAGTAAAGGGAGCAGTAAACGTCATCTTTGTTCTGAAGAGTAGCTTGTGGGCTTGAGCCACCAAACTGCTGGTTAGCAGCCCACTGCATAACTCACTGCTCCACCAGAGGCCCGTTCTTGTGCTTCTGTAAAGCTAACTTAGAGCCATATGCACCTGTCCCAACGTACCTACAAATTCTTAGACACAGGTAGAAATGGATCTTTTTCAAGACCCAGGGACTCCCTGTACTAAATTAGAGACTGTACTTCTCAGAATATTTACAATATTTTAAAATAGTTATAAAATTTGACTATGTATTGTAGCAGAGGTTGACTAAATATGGCCCATGTGGCTCTTTTGGTGTGTATGTGTGGCTGTAATATAAAACTGAAAAATTGTAAAGGGTGCTATTCAGTTAATGGTGATTTTATTTGTTTGTAAATATATATTTATGGCTCTAGGATAATTTTTAAATTGTCGTGAGGAGTAAGATTGGCTATTCCTTCTCAAAAGTTTGCCAACCCCTGGCCTGTACTGTCTGCCTCCTGTTTTTAAAATTAAGTCTTCTTGGAACACAACCATGCCTTACATTTATATGTTACCTATGACTGCTTTTACAGAGTTGAGTTGAGCAGTTGCCAGAGACGTTATAACCTACCAAGCCTGAGCACTTCTGACCCTTTACAGAGAACTGCTGATCCTCATAATAACCAGATCAAGCTGCTTCACGGGAGAACGATGAGGCTGTCTGCTCTCAGAAAGATTTATAGACTGGGAAATCCTAGGGACTAGTACTACTTTGTCCTATAGGATCGCTATGCGTTGGAATTCATTCAGTGGCATTGGCTTTTAGTTTTGAGTACTAAAATGGAAGTCCGTCTCAAAAAGTTTTAATAAATTAGCATCAGTTGCCATATTTTCTGACCAGAATAAAATTGAATTGGAAGTAAATAAGAGGATAAACAAACCCAAAACACCCTATGCATTTGAAAATGAATCATAGCACTGCTTCATAATTCATCAATCCAAGAAGAAATGAAAATTGAAAACATTTTAAAGCTTGACTATAATTAGAATAATGTCCAAGCGGTCCTCAAATCATCCATGAAAGAATTGGTTATGTTTTAGTTCCATTTTCCCCCCACAAACTTTTGCAGGCCACCTGTAGATTAAAAGTTGGTGGATATGGCAGAGGAGAACAGTGGGGACGTGGAAGGTTTATATACACAGGGGTGGGGTGGGGGAGTCACTGAGCTAAGTTAGAATATAGGAAAATCAAAACCTAAATTCCCCACCCCCTCAAAAAAACCCCACATTTTTCTAACTGGAATACAGAATATATTTTGGTTTACTATGAAGATAGCAATTAGACAATTGAACTCTTATTTTCAAGAGGTTTGTTTGTTCTCCACCCTGCTTAAGAATTCTTATCTACATAAATATTTCCAAATCTACTTCTGGATTACTAGGGAATTTAACTTGTAGAAAGACTGAAGTGTGAAAAGTTTTGAATCTTTGAGTAATAGTTTACGGTTGTTGGAATTTTTTGAAAGTATTGCATAATTTTTATGTTAATTTTTGAGGGACATTGAATCTAAACTGAGTATTTAAACCTGACATTTATATATCAGGTTGAGCTCTTGTAGCTGTAATCTACAGCTCTGTTTGATGGGACTATTCCCCCCCCACCCCCCTACACACACAGTGACCTCCGACATCTCTAATGAAACTTTTGGATTCTCGGCCACCAGAATTGAGAAGCATTGCTATAACATATCTATGGTGCTATATAATAGTTTGTTTCTCATCGTTTAGATGTTTAATGTGCTCTTGAGCTTCTTGAACTTTACTTCTAGCTTCTGAACTAGTTGGCAAGTCAGGTATTTTTTTAATTGACCAATTGTTACACTAAACCTTTTTATTTATACAAGTACATGCCTTGGCTAAGCTTTAATATCATTCTTATTTAGATTGAGTCACGGCTTTTCCATTGAAGACTCAGATGAGACATCACAGGACTTTGGTCCACAAGCATTCCGACTCCTGTCTGCTGTGGACATCTTGGGAGAAAAGTATGGAATTGGAGTTCCCATTTTGTTTCTCCGAGGATCTGTAAGTTTTCCTCTGAATCACCAGCATAGTTCTTATCACAGTGTTGTTCAGAATTTGTTGTATTGCGATTTAACTTTGGCTTTAGATGGGTTATTAGAGAACCCAGAGAGATCCCCTTATGTAGTGCATTCATTACTTTTGACAAAACCTGTTTGTATCGCTTGTCCTGCTGTTTCCACATCCCTAGCTGATGCTCAGCTCAGCCCCTCAGGCTGGAAGTACTGTATCAGTTCATTGCAGTGCAGTTCGATGACTCCCTAGACTGATCTTTCTTAGCATAATTAAGTAAAGTTAACTTTCAGTGTGTCAAGGGACAGATGAGACAAAATTGTATATTTTGGTGCTCTGGCGTTCATTAAATTTTTTGTGAAAAACTTCACAGTGATTATTTTGTAAATATCTAAGTTCAATAATAACTTTTGACAGTACTTCTTTTTCTTTCTATCCCTTTCTCTTAGAGTACTTAAAATTTGAGGAAGGTTTTATTGACCAATAAATAATCAATTGGATTCAACTAATTTATTTTTTTGTTTGTAAATTATTAGTGCATCAACATTATGCTAACAGCCACAGGTACAAACAGGAATAACATATAACTCTTAAAGAGTTTTATCTGTAGTTCATTGGTTTATATGATTTTATTCCTGATTTATAAGTCTATGAAGCAAAGCTGAAGGTTTCATTTTGGAATGAGTTGAGTAAACCAAGAGAAATATAGTTAAAAGTACACGTTAAAATTTTAATGTTGTATTTATAGTGTTCTCATTTGTTAGTCATTTCATATAAGTGTTTCTGAGTTCATATTTTGAAAATAGATATATTAAGTTAATCAGTTCTGATATTTTAAATGAATTATAGTGGAAAAACTATGTTAACTTTTCAAACAGTAATGAGTTTAGATTGTGATCGACATCTTGATATTTTTTGTTTGTAAATCACAAGTTAGATTAGAAGCTAAATAGTAGAAGTTTTTTCCTCTGAAACTTTGTTTTGAATGCTATGAGTGATACTATGCTTTTAAATAAAAAGCATTTTCAGTTGCAAAGGACCCATGGAAAAAAATTGAGACCTATGATAAATTTCTTTGGTCTCTTTCACATTCAAAACCTGTGTATCCCAATTGAATGTATAATTTATGAAGATTATCCTTGTTTTAATTTAGTATAATCCAACCATATCCAATATCAACAAATAAGTATAAGTGGGCTCCTAGTCAAAGTTGAACTGGTCACAAGAGAGATCAAATTTCACCTATTACTTGAAAACCAAGTCAGACCGCTTATATGGCAGACTCTTCTGGGAATCCCCAAATTAAGAAGTTTTTCCTTTGTGAAATTTTATACCACCCTTGCTAGATATCAGTGTAAAACTTTTTTTAAAGTGGCACTTAACTAAAATTTGTAGCCACTAACTGCCTTGAAAATAAGGCAAGTTTTTCCCTCCCCCTCTGTTTCAGTGTTCTTGGTATCTACTGGGATATTGTTTAAAAGATTTTAATTGTAATCCCTTTGAGGATTTGGTAAATCATCTACCTTAACTAATTATAGGAAAAAATAATGTCTTTATAGATATTTTTTATCTGTAAGATGAGAAGGGTCTTAAGCGAGGAGCTATTAGAGCTTTTTAAAAGAGATACCAAAGAAAACAAACAAACAAACAGCAAAAAAACAACCTAAAACTAAACTAAATCTGTAGCCAGCTGTTGAGTTGATTCTGGCTCATGGCAACCCTATATCATAGCAGAATCACCCCAAGGGATTTCCAATGCTGTGACACTTTACAGAGGTAGACTGCCTCCTCATTCCCTAGTGAAGCAACTGGTAGGCTTGAATCACTGACCTTTCAGTTAGCACCTGAGCCTATAACCACTGGACTACCAGGCCTGCTTTTTAAAGAGATAAAATATATAAATGTTTAACAAATGTTGTTACAGCAGCACACCTTTCTCTCCTCTTACATTAGAGTGTTCTAAATGGTGTAAACGATGATATATCTTATTCCAGAATCTCAATATTTTGCACACCATATAAAAGTCTAAATACTCTTGTATCAATAATTGATAGGATATGCAACAATCTTAATTTTATAGATTGTAAAACAGAAGGACAGCCATTAATTGGTGTGACCTGGAGATTAAATGAAACTTTGTTCCTGTTCAAATTATCAAAGTACTAAATATTATCATGGTTTCAGAATTCGATAACCTTTTGAAAGGTACTTTGACTATAGGCAGCCATGGAAACTGTTGATAACTAAGCATCTTTCATAATTATCAAACTAGCCAACACAAGATTTTGTCCATTTAATCTTTTGGACAAACCTATTTCATTGGAATGAGAGAAACTTCCAGAGATAATTAGTACTTTATTTTTTTAATCATGCACATAGAATATCAGCTCAAGGAATGACTTTCTCACACTCTGAAGTAATGGTGGCATTCTTGGGCTTTGAGGAATTAGAAGCCATGGGAAAAGAGTTACTAGCCTTGGGAACTCACAGTGGGTCACTCTAATCAGTGGTTCACAACCTTCCTCATGCCGTGACCCTTTACTACAGTTCCTCATGTTGTGGTGACCCCCAACCATAAAATTATTTTCGTGGCTACTTCATCACTGTCATTTTGCTACTGTTCGGAATTGGGAAGCCCCTGTGAAAGGGTCATTTGACCCCCAAAGGGGATGCGACCCACAGGTTGAGAAGTGCTGTGAGTCTAAGTCAACAGTGACTCGATGGTTGAATTTTTTTTGGTTTACTATGAGAGGAGGAAGACAAAATTTGATTTGGATGTAGATTTATCATGTAATATGGAAGGTATTCGTTGAGAAGAAGTATATGTAGCATAGACAAAAATAAAAGACCTACAAATAGGTGTAAAGTATTAGCGAAGTTCTGAAAAGAGATAATAAACTGGAAAATTAGAGAAGTTTTTGCAAACATATCCCTGAAGATTTCTATTTGTAGAGGATAAATGATAGGTTTTAGAAACTTGATTTCTAAAATGGATTGAGGGAAGAAGGATGGAAGGGAATGTGGTATTCCAGGCAGAAAGAGTTGCAGAACAATTGTGGTTTTTAAAAGCTAGTTTACAAAAGTCACAGGGATTTTGTTGTTTTCTACCTGGTACTGGTGCAAAGATTTTGATGTGATCAAAAGTTGACACTGGATCTCATACTTAACAAGTAGTTAAAATGCTAGCTCTCTTTATTCTAATACATACCTATCACTTAGTAAGTTTTGTATTCTCTGATATGCCCCTTATGTTTGCTACCAGTTTTTCTAACTTTAAAATAGAAGGAATGACATGAATATTGCTCTTGGATCAAATCCGAAATGGAAAAAGGACCATTTAATCCACTACCTTGTTTTATACTTGTGCAGACTGAATCCCAGAGTATTAAGTAAATTGACTCTAGATCAGTGGTTCTCAACCTTCCTAAGGCCACAACCCTCTAATACAGTTCCTCATGTTATGGTGACACCCCCCCCCCAGCTATAAGATTATTTTCATTGCTACTTCATAACTGTAATTTTGCTACTGTTAGGAATCGGGCGATCCCAGTGAAAGGGTCGGTCGTTCAACCCCCAAAGGGGTCGCGACCCACAGGTTGAGAACCACTGCTCTAGATGCTACTCATACTGTTCCTTTTTTGCCCCAATGAGGATGAAAAAACAGCTTTCATGTCTACTAGGCTAGTGCTTTTTCTATTATGTGTAAACTGTTTACTCACAGTTTTTATATTTTTATTTCTAGACTGAATAGTCTCGAGATCCTGGAATGAAGATTTGTGGTTGTTAAGGGATGTGAGCCCATGTGCGCATGTGTCTGTATGTTGGTGTGTGTAGAATTGTGCCATCCTTAAAATCAATGCCCAATGCCAAGCCCTTTATTTTCTAGAGCAACGTTCTCATCCCAGACAAGTGGGTTAACCTGAAAATTGCAATTAATCAGAGTACATTGCACGTTAGCAATTAATGGAAGAAGCCTTGCTCAGAGTGAGGAATCATTGAATATTTGTTACTGAACATCTTTATTGTATTCTGTTTTTTAAAAATTATCACTCAGTTAATTTGCAATTTCTAGTTGAAAGGGGAATGTGCTTTAAGAGAAAGATAGTATCAAAGAGCATAGCTATTTCATTTTGTACATCATGGTTGCCATAGAAACCACACAATGTAAATTTACCTGTATAGTACAGAGTTTTCACAATAATTATCATCAGAGGAGAGGATGATAGCCCTCTACTGATCAGAAAGAATCTTATTGCTTCAGACTAGTAAATGTGTTCATTCACTTCAGGTTTTTTCTGCTTATGAAAGAGAGAGTGAAATAATTTTTGTGTACAGGGAGTTAGTAAGTGCTGGTTAAGAAACGTAATTTCTTTGATGTATTAGTTTGCAAGCAATAGAGTATCTTCCTACAAAGGTAAGCCCCTAGCAGATGTAGAGAGCCATAAACAAGTGTCCAGGGAAAACTGACTAGATGTTAAGCCATAACTTTACTTGTAGGTTTAGATATTCAGGTTGAGTGAAAGGATCAGCTATTAGCTAACAAAAAGTTAGCTACTATTATTGAGACAGGTTACTTCCTGATTACTCATTGAATCTTTATAATAACTGTAAGAAGTTGAGACTATTATTATAACTACATTTGTTGATGAAAGGAGTCCTGGTGGTGCAGTGGTTAAGCACTTGACTAACTGAATGCATGTTCAGTGCTTTTAATGTAGCAGCCACTCCTCAGGAGACAGATGTGACAGCGGCTTCTGTAAAGAGTACAGCCTTGGAAACCTTGGGGTCAATTCTACTCTGTCCTTCTAGGGGATTGCTATGCGTCAGGCAGACTAGATGGCAACAGCTGTTTTGTTTCTGTTTTTAAATAGCAGATGAGAAAATACAACACAGATAAATAATTTACCCAGGTAAAACTGTTAGTAAGTATAAGAGACATGACTTGAATATAATTACTCTAGAAGATGGATTGCCTACGGTCAATACGATGTCTATGTGTATCTAATAATGTACATATTTGCATCCATGGTATGATACAAAAATTAGAACAGTCAAGAAACCCGTGCTTTCGTCCCAGCTCTGTTATAAATAGCATCCCTGAGTTGTGCAAATAGTTAATGTCTTTGTCTGCTAACTGAAAGGTTGGCGGCTCATGTCTACACCTTGAAAGAAAGGGCTTGCTGTCTATTTCCGAAAAATGAACCATGGACAAGCCCTATGGGATGAAGATCTCTGATAACACATGAGGTCATCATGAGTTGGAATAGACTCCGTGGCAACTAAGTGGTCCTAGTACACGCGCATGATGACCTTCACATCTTTGAGCCTATGGTTATTTTGGATAATATGAGTTAAAATTACTACGATAGATCGATAGATCATAGAGCTCCAGTGTACCTTCCAGTTCTGAAATTCTATGGTGTTTTCTAATCAAAGATAGAGATCCCTGGTGGGACAGTGGGTTCGGCACTGGGCTGCTAGCTGCAGAGTTGACAGTTCAAGCCTGCCAGTGGTTCCTTGGGACAAAGTTGTGTGATCCCATAGAGATTTGGCCTTGGAAGCCCTCAGGATCAATCTACTCTGTCTCATAGGGTAACTGTGAATTGGATTTGACCAGATGACAATTGGTTTGTTACTTTATCAAATTAACCAGCAGTCACGTTAATATAGGCAGCAATTGTTAACAAGTAAAATGTCCCACTTTCTACGAGGGGGGTTTATATTTGTTTATATCTTGATAACATTTTTGCAGATAGCATTATTATGATACTAAGGTTTATATCATGAAAAAATGGAATTTAAAAGATAGTGAGTTTTTTGAAGTCCCCTTGCACTTAGTTACTTTAATTTTTCAAAAAATCTTTTCTGTTTTTATGTTTAAGATTTACTATAGAGCATTTTACAGACTGTTAATTAGCTTACTTCTGATAGACCTATCAGAAACCTGTATTGCAAACCTTATATCTAGATACTGCTGTCTCTCCAATGGGAACGTAGCCTAATATTTTTTGTGTGAAAGATCAACTTAATTTAATCTGTTTTTGCAAACCAGAACTTTAGACAGAGTTGTTGTTGTTGTTAGTTAGGTTCCAGTGAGTACCTTCTGATCCACAGTGACCCTGTGCACAGCAAAACAACACACCGCCTGGTCCTGCGCCGTCCTCAGTGGTTCCTGTGCGTGTGCCCATTGCTGCAGCCGCTGTGTGCACCCTGCTATTGGAGGGCCTTCCTCTTTTTTGCTGCCCTTTTACTTTACCAAGCATGTTGTCCTTCTCCAGGGACTGGTCTCTCCTGACAACTTGTCCAGAGTACGTGAGATGAAGTCTCATGGTCCTTGCCTCTAAGGAGTATTCTAGCGGTACTTCTTCCAAGACAGATCTGTTTGTTCTTTTGGCTGTCTGTGGTACTTTCCGTGTTCTTCTCCAGCACCCCAGTTCAAATGCACCCCTTCTTCTTCAGTCTTCCTTCTTGGTGTCTAACTTTCACATGCAGATGCAGTCACTTCCCTGCTCTTCAGCACTCTAGCGAGGTCTTTTGAAGCAGATTGACCCAATTCAGTGCATCTTTCACTATTGACTACTACTTTCATGAGTACTAATTATTATTCTAAGCAGGACAAAATCCTTGAAAACTTCAGTCTTCTTTTGTCATGGTGTAACCTATTGGTCCAGTGGTAAGGGTTTGGGTCTTCTTGATAGTGAGTTGTAATCCATACTGAAGGCTGCAATCCTTGATCGTGCTTCAAGTCCTCACTTTCAGCAAGTGAGGTGTCTGACCCACAGGAATGGGTTTATATGTATACACAAACACACACATTGGGATTCAAAATTCACTATCTTTTTTTTCTATTTTTCATGAACTTTTAAAAACTCTTACCTACTTTTACTTATGAAATAAGCAACCAGGATGAATATTTTTTAAATGGAGCATCTTTAAAGCATCAAACTTGAGGAGTTCAGTATGGCCTTTTAGATTCTGATTTTATTTCTCATTTCAGAATTCTCAGCGTCTTGAAGATGAATTCCGCAGGCACAGGTTTTTTGGCGCTGGCAAGGACCACCCGGAGAGCTGGTGGAAGGCTCTTGCTCGTCATCTCATAGCTGAGGCATTCTTGGCAGAAGTTTCTGGGTCTAGAAAATTTGTAAAAATTTGCACCCTTACAAAAAAGGTAAGTATTGTAAATTTCTGCCTGTTTGACTTATGCTTTCTTACTGTGTGTGAGAAGATTCTTGTTGTTTTTGACAGGGTAGGAATTGGCTTAGGAAATCCAGTGAAGCATCTCCTCTGAGTCTGATTCTTCAAGCTAATGAAGAATTGTGTCCAAGGAAGTTTCTTCTGCCAAGGTTCCGTTTTCATGCTTTTGTTTGTTTGTTTGCTTTTCACTTTTTAGTGTGAATTGGGTAAAGGTTTACAGAACAGATCATCAGTTTTTCATTCACTATTCCATATGCATTTTGTTTTGCTTCCTCCAGTCTATCCCCTCAATGTACCATCACTCATGCTGCTTCCGCCTGGTGGTCCCTTTTTGTATTCCTTCTTTCCGAACCCCTTTTCTTGGGTACACACTACATTTCTATCTTAAATACTTGAGTACTCTAATACAGGACTGATTTAGTTCCAGACAGGCTTTCTTTTTTAATGAATTTTTTTTTCAAAACCATTTTTTGGGTAGCTAATACAGATATATCATTCCATAGTTCAATCAGATCAAGAAGTCTTGTACAATTGCTACCACGGTGAGTTTCAAAACACTTTCTTCCTTCTTGAACTCCTTGATATGAGCTCCTTTATCCCTCCCTTCCCCATAGTAACCCCCTTCTGCTGCCCCCCCTCCCCTCCCTGCCCACAAGGCACCCTTACACCCTTATTCTACTTGCTGTCTCTTTAGGTTCCTCAATCCTGGGTTTCGTATACTGAAAAACATATAACAAGCCCAAGAGGGCTCCTCAAATGGCAAAATACATCAAAGATAATAAACCCAGTATGAGAAAGGTTGGGGGGAGGGGCACACCAAAAGCCTGAAAATGTTGAGAACCAGCTCAGGCCCAACATGCATCAGAGGGTGGGGACCAGCTGACAAGGTCTTGTCCCTTCAAGTCAGGCTTATCATTTTGATCTGTAGTCATCTCTGCTATAGTACAGTCTGTTTGGTGATCAGCTTATTCCCATCCCTCCAGTATGGACAGAGGGAAATCACCGGAGGCTTACTTTCTGTGTCGATCTCACAAATGTGTCTTAAGATCCCATTGTCATCCATAGCCAAGCAGAATCTCACAATTTAGGCTCTGATACTATTCCTTCCTATGGCTTCAGATTATAGGATTTACAATCTTTCAGTTACTGATGTTGGTATGCTTTTTCCATGTGGACTTATGTGACATCTCACTTGGATGGCTGTTTGTTTAAAAACAAGCCTGTAGGTCCTCAGATGATATTTTATCTGAAAGCTGGGCACAGTCTAATTTCTTCACCATGCTTTGCTACAGTACCATATGTGTTCACTTCCTGAGGTCGAGTTTTAATGAATCTTTTATTATGAGTTAGATTAGGTGGTTTACATTCCAGACCATCAGCTCTGTGGTCACCAGTGCAAACCACTCCTCAGCCGCTCCGTAGTATTCAACTCCAACCGCTTCCTTGATTTTCCTCCTCCTTCTCATAGTCCTCCATCCTCCCTTTCACCCAAATCAATCAGTGCCTATCAGTCTTCTGGTCCATAACTTCATCTTCCCACCCTTGTTCTCCTTCCTAGGGAACTTCCAAAGTCTGTGCCCTTTGGTATTCAAGACTTTGTGTGGTTTTATCTTTTATACAATATCTGTTTCATACAATATCTGTCCTTTGTAATTGACTAACCACTTAGCATACTATTCTCCAGGTCTATCCATATCAAGAGGGGTTTTACAGTGTCGTCATTTTTCTGCGTATGCACTAAAATTTCTTTACCTATTTGTCTACTGATGGCATTTGGGCTGTTTCCAACGTCTTGCTGTTGTGAGCAGTGCTGCGATGAACATGGGAGTGCATGTGCCTATTCATGTGATAGCGCTTACTTCTTTAGGGCATTTACCCAGCAGAAATAATGAAATTTCTATTCCCAGTTTGACATAGCACCATGTTGTTTTCCACGATTGTTGCACATCCAGACTGGTTTGAATTTCTTTTATTTTTTTAAAATTCTAGAGTTTAAAAATATATATAATTCAGACTATATTACCAGTTTGCAGATACTACACAGATAAAGAAAGAAATGTTTTTGTATTAGTTTGGACATAAAGGTCAGTGAGAAGAAAGATAAATCACAGATTGCTTTCTTGGTTAAGAAAGTTTAAATGCTGTAGCTCGCCATAGTGTTTAAAAGCTTTTTCCCATTAATTATAGAAGCAATGCTGAGATCCTTAAGGAAGAAACTACATTTCCCCTTATGTATACAGAGGAATGTGCTTGTTGCGCACTTTCAAATACTTTTATATATTATTGATCATTTATCAGTTTCTTCCTGTTAAGATCTTAAGCCTTGCAGAGGTTTTTCTAGAAAGAATCAGTTAAAAAAATTTACTGCCTTAAAATGGTAATTAATCTCACCTCCCTTTCTGGGATTAGGGATATGAAGACTCATATGCCAGATAATTGTATTTCAGCATTTGAGATAATTTAACCTTATTATTTTTCAGTTTTAAAACTATGTCTTCAGCCACTGCACAATATTCCTCTAATCAAGTACCAATTGAATTAACTGCAGAAAAGAAGGTTGGTTTTAAACAAGTGGTTCTTATTTGTTTCATTCTTTAATGATGTAGCTGTTATTTTTAACTTTCGTATTTTGATTCCCTTCCGAATAAAGAGTAAATTGGCATATGTAACAAAATGTAAAATTTAGAAAGAGATGTGATATAAACAGTATAAACTATGAGGTATCTAATTTCTGGTATGTGAAAGCCTATTTCATGACATTTTTGTCATGAAGTTTTTATGTTGTGATACTATAATTAATAAAAAAAATAAGTTTGATTCCTAAATACTCTCATTAAAACTACACACTTGCAAAAGCAAAAAACTACACACACGTACACACACACTTTCTTTTAAAGATATATTAATTCGTAGTTAATGCAATATATTGTATCATTCCATAGTTCAATCACATCAAGCAGAATTGTACAGTTGCTCCCATAGTCACTTTCCAAACATTCTTTTTCTTCTTGGACTTTTTTACATTGTCTCCCTTTTACCCCCCACCACCAACACTGTACCCCTCATCCCCCCAAACCCTATTCGACTTTCTGCCCCTATAGCTTCATCAATCCTGAGTTTCGTGTATCGAAAACAGAAAAACCTAACACCACTACCACTTTAAGAGGGTGCTCTCTGATGACACCTCTGAGATGCTCCATAATATGAACAACCAAAAACAAAACAAAAATACAGAAAATGTTGAAAACAAGATCATGTCAGCGTGGATCAGAGGGGGAATCACCTGACAAAGTTTTAACTGTTCAAGTCATATTTATGCCTTTGATCATCTATACGTATCTCTCCATCGCCCTCTGTTTAGTAATCCCTTTCCTCCCATCCCTCAATTGTGGATAGAGGGAGTTCACTGGAGGCTTGTTTCCTATGTTGTTCCCACATATGAATCTTGGGCTCCCACTGTCATCCATAGTCGTCGGCAAATCCTATTCTCATGATTTAGGGGCTGATACTAATTCCTCCTTCGATTTCAAATTATATGATTTATAATCCTTCGGTGACTGATGATGGTGTGTTTCTTCCATGGGGGCTTAGTTGACATCTCACTTAATTAAGTATCTGCTTGTTTGGAGACAAGCCTTTAAGACTCCAGTTGCTATTTCATCTGATAGCCAGGCACCATCTAATTTCTTCCTCCCATTTTGCTGTAGTCCCCATATCTTCAGGGTTCCCTTTCTGAGGGTGACTATTGAGCAGGGCCATGATGTAAGAACTAATTGTTCTTAAGTCACACACATACTTTCTTGCATTGTGTTTGGATTTTAAATAGCAATACAGATTAAATACATATTCATAGGCCAACATAAGATAGAACACTTGTGTAATGAAAAAAATGTGCTCATTTCCTGTTTGGTTTTTTTCCCAGCTTTATTAAATGCACCATACAGAACATAATTGAATAATTTTTATAACTTTGGCTCCTGCTGTGTCTCAGAGCATTCTCTATAGATTTGAGAGGAATAGATATTAGGTTACATTTTAACTGCTTTTAAAAGCTTAGAAGTTGATATTTCAAGATATATTTGAGGACTTGGTTAATCAAAGAGAAAATATTATCATGAACTTTGTCTTTTGCTTCCTTCATACTTGAAAGAGTTCTTTGAAACTTAATATTTCATGTTTTTAATGGATTTTTATGTATTCCAAAACAGTATGATTTGGAGAAGATGTATTCTTACAAAGCACTTAATAAAAAACCTTCTGGAGATAACTTTCCTAAAAAAAGGTAAAGAGTTCATTATTTTTATTTTCTCTACTTACATCAATAGCACTTTTCCCCCTAAAACTAAACTAACTCAGATCAATTAGGCTACTTCAGTGATAGATAGAGTCCTATGAAGTGATAGAATTAATATTAATTAACAAACTAACACTTTAATTTTAAGTTTATAGCTAACACTTAATGAGCATGATTGCATATCAGGCTCTGTGCTAAGTACTAGGCATCTTGTATGTATTATCTCTATTAACTCTTATAAAACCTGTGAGTTATTGCTGTTAAGCACCTTCCGGCTGGTTCTGACTCACAGTGGCCCCATGTGCAACAGAATGAAACACTGGTAAGGTGAAGGGAGGGGCATTCTCTGAGCAGAGGAATGGCCTACATACATATGGAAACCTAGAAATAAGAGGAAGGACTCATTGCTGCGAATCTCTAACAAGAGTGCTGGACATGATGTAGTACAAGGGTGCAACGGAGTAGTGAATTTTAAGACTGAAGAATGAAATAGCATCACACGTAATGATAAAGACAGTTTGGAGCTAGAGACAGGTTTTAAATAGAAGAGTACTTAAATCTGTCATATAGTACTGGGGTTGATGAACATTTTCTGGTATAGGGCCAGATAGTGCATATTTTAGGTATCATAGGCCATAATGGTCTCTGATAAAACTATTTTGCACTGTTGTTGTACCTAAAAAACAGCTGTAAACAGTATATAAATATATGCACATAGTATGTTCAGTAACATTTTATTTATTGATATTGAATTTTAATTTTATATAACTTTCATATGATTTGCAGTGTTCTTTTATTTACTTATTTTAAACAATTTATAGACCTTGCCAATAGAGATTGATTTGGCCTTGGGGCGCTACTTTGCCAACACTTGATTGATTACTCTGGGTGATATAGATTAAAGAAAAATGAAACTGTTCTTAAGAAAAAAGAACTACAGGCTATTGCAGTAGTACTTGTAAGAAATTATGATAGCTTAGATGATGGTGTGGCATTGGGCATAGAAGAGAGATAGTTTGTCGGACATTTAAGAGTTAAAATTATGAGGTCTTGATTGTTAAGCTGGTGGTAAGTTAAGGAAAGTGGAGTACTAGTAGATGACTCTTACATTTTTGTATTAGATTTTTGGGTCAGAGTATTATGTTTGTTTTTGTTTTTAAGGTGAGCAACATAAGAGGAAAAAATTTAGAGGTTAAAAATCAGGCATTTAATGATAGACAATATGCTTGCCAAGTAGTCAGAATATCAACTTTATATACAGGTGTAGTATATATAGAGAAGAGCAGGATGTTTATATATTATTAGCTATATTATTACAATTTACTGACATTTTCATTACAATACTATATGTACATGGTTTTTAAAATGTCCCCTGGGTGGTGCAAAAAGTTTGCATCCAGAAAGCGTGGAGGTTTGAATCTACCCAGCAGTGTCACTGGTGAGAGACTTCCCCTCCATATAGATTACACTACGGAGAGCTCCGTTCTACTCCGTCATACACGGGTCACCCCTCCTCCCTGGGGGACGGACAACAGAAAAGTGGGTGAAGGGAGACGTCGGACAGGGCAAGATATGACAAAATAACAATTTATAAACTATCAAGGCCTCATGAGGGAGGGGAGAGCGGGGAGGGAAGGGAAAAATGAGGACCTAATGCCGGGGGCTTAAGTGGAGAGGATATGTTTTGAGAATGATGAGGGCAATAAATGTACAAATGCGCTTTACACAATTGATGTATGTATGTATGGATTGTGATAAGAGTTGTATGAGCCCCTAATAAAGTGATTTGGAAAAAAAAAATACACGGGGTCACCGGTCACCAAGAGTTGAAAGTTACTCGGTGGTAGCAGGTTGGGCCTTTTTAGTGGAGTAAAAAGTCAAAGTGTACATATTGAAGCACACTAGTTCACAGTCCTTCCCAAACCACTTTGCTCAGTTTTTCAAAAGTCATTCACAAGTTTTCCACCCGAATTCTCTGTTATTTACCTCTATATATCTAAACAATATAGTTAGACTGCTATTTTTTAACTTAACCAATTTTAGAAATTTTCATTTGACTTCTGGTATGGTAGTATCCTGTTCCCCCTTCTCCAACAAAGGAGGAATTCATTTAACTTTGACGTCTATTGTGTAGACCATTCTATGTAATTAAAAAATTAACATGAAAATCTGGTATATATGAGGGGGTACTCAAAAAACCCAGAATTTCCCCCCCTCCCCCTTAGAGCTGTGTATTAAAATTTTTTTAAAATAACCGTATCACCTTCAAAGTACTCTTCATTACACTTAATACATTTGCCAAATCTGCAATGCCATTCTTGGAAACATTTTTCAAACTCATCTGTTTGGATGGCTCTCTCATTTTTTTCTTCACTTCTTATAAGTTGTCAAATCACTGTCCTTTCATGTCCCTCTTCATTCACAGAAACAAAAAGGAGCCACATGGCAACAAAGCTCACATGGAATAAGCCTGTGTGATCACGAGGTATTGACAGGATCAGGTATCAGGCATCAGAAAACCCAAAACACACAATCACATTGATGCGAATAGGAGATTCTGAGTATAGACCCAAAGCCCATCTGTAGACAATTGGACATCCCCTTACAGAACGGTCACAAGGAAGGAAGGAGTTAGCCCAGGGTACAGTACAACACCAATGAAACGCACAACATTCCTCTAGTTCTTTAATGCTCTCTCCCCACCCACCCTAAACTATCATGACCCCAGTTCTACCTTACAAATTTGGTTAGACCAGAGCATGTACACTGGTACAGATAAGAGCTCCGACACACGTAATCCAGGATAGATAAACCACTCATGAACAATAATGGGAGTAGCGATACCATGAGGGTGGGGGAAGGTGGGGGTAAAAGGGGGAACCAATCATAATGATCAATGTATAACACCCCACCCCCAGGGGGGACAAACAACAGAAACGTGAGTGAAGGGATACAGCAGACTGTTTTAAGATATGAAAATAATAATTTATAATTTATTAAAGGGTCACGAGGGTAAGAGGTTTGGTGTGAGGAGGGAGGGAAAAGAGAGGAGCTGATACCAAGGACTCAAGTAGAAAGAAAATGTTTTGAAAAGGATGATGGCAACATATGTACAAATGTGCTTGATACAATTGATATATGGGTTGTTATAAGAACTGTAAAAGCCCCTAATAAAATGATTTATATATTTTAAAATGTCACACGGAGCGAAGGTCAGGTGAATCAGGTGCATTGGGTAAGAGAGGCATGCTGTTTTTTGCCAAAAACTGGTACACTGAGATGGCTGCATGAAGCGGGTCCATTCTGGTGTTGGCAAAACCAGTCCCCTGGCTGCCACAAATCAGGCCTTTTTGTTGCACATTATTGTGCAATGAAATTTTGTTGCTCACTATTACCCAACCTTTAAATAGAAAGCTTGATTGACAGTCTGACCTGGTGGAACGAACTCCAGAGTTGACATTTTCATCTGTTCGGGAAGTTCAGAATGAGGTTTGTCATCAATTGACATTTCACCTTTTTTGAAATAAGAACACCATTTGTACATTTGTGTTTTTCCCATAGCGCTGTCCTTAAAAGTTGTATTCAACATCACAACAGTTTTTGTGGCATTTTTCCAGAGCAGAAAACAAAATTTCACAGTGGCACCCTGTTGTCTTAAATCGGCCATAACAAAAAAAATTGATTCAAGCAAAACTGATATCATAAAAAAATTCACTGTGACCAGAGAACCTTCCCAGGCGATGCTACTGGGTGAACTAACTCAGAGCAAGTTGCTCATTGCTTACCCAGTGGGAAAAATGCGTACTACAAAGGCTCTGCCCAGAGGAGCTTTTTTCCGGGGAAGCGGGTAGGCGCAGGGGTACCCCTTTGTGTGTGTTTGTGTGTGTGTGTACAGACACACCTATATGTGTATATACATATATATAGGTAACTTGACATTTGTTAATTCAACATTGCTTGTATTGTAAGATTTGATCATGCTAATTTTTGCCCTATATAATGCAAATATTATATATGACTACCATATATACTTGTGTATAAGCCGAGGTTTTCAGCGCATTTTTAATGCAATTTTTGTGATAAAATTAGGTGCCTTGGCTGATGCTCAGGTTGCCTGATACCTGAGTATATATGGTAAACCCAAACCATATGTTGTTATAGCCACCACCATTTTATGTTCTCTGGTAGCAAAAATTTTTTCCCTTTTACTTGGCTTTTAATTTTACTTATCTCATTAAAATTTTAAGCCCTCTTTCTTCTTCTCATAGTGTTTCCTTAGTAACATACAGGAGTCTTGTTTCATGAATAAAGTACCATAGTTTCATCTGAAGCGTTTATCATCGTTTTTTTTTCTCCTAACTTCTGTGCATTTGTAATTGTGTTCAAACAAAAATGCTTTAAAAGAAAATTTGCTCACATATGTTTCTAATTAAGCAATATTACCCAAATTTTGCTAGGATAGCTTCCTTGTAAAATAATTTAAACTAGAATCTTCCACATAGTACAGCAACTGAACGATTTGCATAATTTAAATCAAATAAGTTACCTTATTCTGTGAACTAGATTTGTCTTTCCTCTTGCTATTTATTTTAGTTGTACAATTTATAACTGAAAATAAAGTCCTACAGTGTAGTTGTGAACGCTAAGCAACAGAGAAATCAGTAAACATTTCTTCAAAATCAATCAAGTTTGTTCTTCATCCCATCTCCCACACCTCCCGCCTCCAAAAGAGAATAGGAATACATTTTGTGTTGTCCATGTTATGTCATTTGAAAAACTGTCATAAATTTGTGTGTTTGAAATTCCAATGTTCCTTCGTATGTAAAATCAGCAGCATTATTGATGCTTATCCATCTCTATAATTTGTTTCTAAATTTCCTATCACCCTGAAAGAAGCTCAGATATCTTTCTCCTCCCTTTGTCCCTATGATAGCTGTAGGCACCAGTATGACTCCAACTCACAGAGGCCCTGCATGTGTTCAAGTAGAACCGCACTCCCTGGGTTTTCAGTGGCTAATGTTTTGGAAGTAGCTCATCAGGCCTGCCTACCGTGGTGCCTCTGTGGGTGAACTTGAACATCCAGCCTTTTGCACCTCTCAGGGAATGCTCTGGAAACTGCTATGAACTTTGGTCTGTATACACTGGCATATACTAGATATTTTCAGCTTTGTATGCAGTATAAGTTTCATAACCTTTCTCATTTGTAATTAGAGTTTTATCCAGTTTGGTGACTAGCACCTGCCACCTAATTTTGTTTTCAAAATTTTAATCCAGCATCAGAAGCAAAATTACATTTTTTGTCTGATTTTCATTTGTTGTAGAAAAAATGTTTTGAACAATTTGATTAATCCTGTGCTGTCTTTCACTCAACAAAAATTACTGGTGTCACAGATTGCTTCTTTATAGATCAGATAGCCCTTTTATTTATTTATTTTTGAGTTATCTTTCTTCATTATGGTTAAAGAGTATTTTTTCCCCCCAAAGCATTTGGTTTAGGAAGGGGATGGGACAAAAATTATTTGTCAGTTTTGTGATGAACTCCATTAACCTTACCATTCTAATGTGTGTGCTTGACCCAAAGTATTCACAATCTGTCCGCCTTACCGGTCTTGCACAGAAAAGATATTATATTGACTTGGAAATATATTCTTTAGTTGGAGGCAAAATAAAAAATCAACCGGGAGAAAGAGAATTTTCTTTCATTCTTTATTTTCCTTTAAATTTGTTAGTATCATGGTGCCATCCCCAGGAAAATGTCTTCCTGGATTTTGCAAGTCCCTGGAACCTGTTATTTCAGCCCGAGAACAAGAAATTCAGGTAAGGCTTTGTAAAAATGTTAGGATTCTAATCATGCTTAAGATTCTATTATAATCTAAGATATAGTTTAGAGTTTGGGTCCCCCCCCCCCCACCTCTATTAAAGGGCAAGTGAAGTACTAAAAATGAAAGCCTAGATTTTTCTTTGTACTTTACGAAGTGTTGAGTTGTTTATTTGTTTTTTTGTTCAGACAATGCTATATGGCAAATTGGTAGAAGCCAGGCAGAAACAGTCCAATAAAATGGATATTCCTCCAGCTATTCTGGCAACAAATAAGATACTACTGGAGATGGCCAAAATTAGGTAAACAATCTATTTGAATATATGATGATTGATTTTCTTGTAGCATAATAGATTTGTAGAATGTCATTATATAATACAGACCATGACTTCAACTATCACATTATGACTTATTCCCAAATTCCTCATTCTTGGACCACTATCTCTTTGTGAATCTGTTAACTTCATGTTTCTACATGAATGAAAACAACTATGTTTTCAGTGATAACTCAGAATATGAAAAATTGAACTCATTTCCCATCTGTCCTCAAAGCACACACTTTATCCAAGTACGAACTCTTATTTCTTAATGACTTATTTTTGTTAATCTTACTCCCATAGCCCTCCTTTCTTCAAACTGGTCCCAGACCTTTTCATTTAGATGTTCCTTGTGAATCTATGACTTGTTCCCTCTTCCTGGACATTCCATTTTGGCTTCCTAAGTAGTCTTTTTTTTTCAGTCTCCTAATTTCATTTAATGTATGAATAGCAAGGAGTCTGAGTGGTGCAGACAGTTCATTGCTCAACTACTAAGCAAAGAGTTAGTTCAAAATTACCAAGAGGTGACATGAAAGACATGCCTGGCCATCTACTTCTTAATAATGAGCACAGCCATTGGAGCACAGACTATTCTAATGCACCGCTCGTGCTATGAATCAGAATTAACTTAATGGAAACTGGTTTTTTGATTTTGGTTTAAAAGAGCTACAAGTTAATCTTTTTCATGTTCTGACACTACTTAAATGATTTCCCCTGTGCTCACTTCTTTAGTCTAGAATTTATGGACTTAAATTTATGTTTCCATCTAAGTCATGAAATTTTGAATTGTCATCTTACTTTTATTTATATACCATTTATTGAAGATACTTTTCATCATCCACATACTTATTTACAGTATAATATGCAGTATTTCTTGAATTACCCCAAAATTATTTTATGAACTCCATAGAGATCTAGTTTTTTACTACTTAATGAAATCTTCCACAGCCTTGTCTGCAAAGTAATTCCTCTCTTGAATTCATAAAGGACTTTTAGATGCATTGCTTCTATGGCACTTAGCAAAAACAATGCTTAAATTATAGTTTGTTGTTGTTAATGATAGACATTTGTTGTTATAATATTTACAGAAGAAATTGTTTAAAAAAATAGTAGTTTGGTAATAATATTCAACTTGATGTTTGCTTTTAAAATATGGCAGCTATCACTAAATTTTATCCCAGAGATAAATTTAGAATTACCTAATGATTCTTACGTACTACTTATAGCCTATATTTAGACTATTAAAAATAAATATACTCGGGCTAACCTTTACCATTTAGAGAAAATATTTAAAGGGAAAAATGTAATCATGATATTGGCCGAATTTCACAAAGAAGACAGTGTTCTAAGTTGTCTTAGTTGTCTTAGATATTATACATGTTAGGAAATATTTAGCTAAAAGTCCATAGCAGTTGCAAAGTTTACTATATAGTAAAACAACTTTGTGGAAGAAAATAATAAGTGAGACTAAGAATTCCATAGCCTCTTAGTTGTCGTCAGTTTGTGGCGTTGATTGTTGTTAAATGCCATCAAACTAATTCTGACGCATTTTGACCTTATGTGTGACAGAACTAAATACCCGCAGCCCTGCACCATCTTCACAACTGTTGGAGTCCATTGTTGTAGCCAATGTGTCATCCATCTCATTGAAAGCTTTTTTCCTCTTTTCACTGCCCCTCCACTTTACCAAGCATGCTGTCCTTCTCTAGGGTCTAGGAAATGATCTCTCCTGACAGCGTGTCCAAAGTGCTTGAGCTGAGGTCTCGCCATCCTTGCCTCTAAAGCGCTTTCTGGCCATATTTGTTCCAAGACAGATCTGTTTGTTCTTTTGGCAGTCCATGCTACTTTCAGTATTCTTCGCCAACGCTATAGTTGAATGCATCAATTTTTCTTCATTCTTCTTTATTCAGTGCCCAACTTTCACATGCATATGAAGCAATTGAAAATACCATGGCTTGTGTCAGGTTCACCTCAGTTCTTAAAGAAGCATCCTTGATTTTCAACACCCTAATGAGGTTTTGTGCAGCAGACTTACCTAATGCAATACGTCTTTTGATCTCTTGACTGATGCTTTCATGGGCATTGATTGTGGATCCAAGCAAAATGAAATCCTTACAACTTTAAGCTTTTCTCCATTTATTATGATGTTACCTCTTGGTCTAGGATTTTGATCTTTGTGACATTGAGTTGTAATACATAGTGTAGGCTGCAATCCTTGATCCTCATCAGCAAGTGCTTCAAGTTGTCCTCACTTTTCAGCAAGCAAGATTGTGTCATCTGCTTATCAAAGGTTGTTAATAAGCCTTCCTCCAATCCTGTGGCTACATTCTTCATCTTATAATCCAGCTTCTCTGATGATTTGCTTACCATACAGATTAAATAAGTATGGTGAAGAGATACAACCCTGACACACACCTTCCTGATTCACACAACTGTTTCTTGATCCATGTACAGCTGCACCATGACCCCAGTGAACTGTTCTGGAGTTCCCATTCTTAAGGCTATCCATAACTTGTTATGACCAACAATGTTGAATGTCTTTAAATAGTCAATGAAACACAAGTAAACATCTTTCCAGAGCCAAATAGTTTACCTTGTTATGTCTGTAAAAATATAACAACTGTAATATCAGTAGTAGAGTAGAAGATTAGAGATTAGCCTGTTTCTTTCTGACATTAACCTGTCCACCAACTACTATCATTTTACATTGCTGATGGTGGCTTTGTCTTTATTGTTAAATTGCTGAAACAGAACATTTTGAAATGGTGGAAAGTAATTATAAAATAGGATTAACGTGTATTTTACATTGTTTTGTTGTTGTTTTTAAATGAAATTAAATATATAGCAATTTTATAAAAATATACACTTAAAAATCAGAATACATCCAATGTTGCTAAAGTGATAATGCTTCTGCATTTTCATATATATATATTTAAAAAAAAATTTTTTTTAACCACAGACCTACTACAATTGAAAATTTGAAAAAGATAGATGGTGTTTCTGAAGGAAAAGCTACTATGTTGACAACTCTATTGGAAGTCATCAAACAATTCTGCCACGAAAATAGTCTTCAGGTAAATGATTGTGGTTTGCAGGAGAATATGCATGTTTTTATCATTTCAAAAGCATGCCTCAAAAGCAACATAATCTCCTTTTATTTGCCTTTCCTATTAGATACCTGGAAAATGGGTGTAGAGTGTTTCCATAGTAAATCAGTAAAGACTTGTTGGCTACCTAAATTTTAAGCTTCTACTAAAGTTATTATCCAGGCTGCCCATGAGTTGGTGGTGAACAAAACAGAATGTTTAAAAATGGATTTTTTCCCCCCACATACCTTTTGAAGCCCCCCCCCCACCTGCTTCCCATAGTTCAGGGTGAGAAACTCTGACTTTCACTTTCAAGTATGATCTTTAAAATGGAATGCTGCAATTTTATACTTCGTGGCAGCTGATAAAAGTCAAAGCCACTTGGCTTTTCTAATGTTTGACATATTCCCCACCTCCTCTTTCCTTCCAATTGTGTTGTCTTTTGAAGTTAGATTTTATGTTATTCTTATCAAGCTTAGTAGTGTTTCTTCACTTCCTTTTATTCTCGCTTTACCCTACGTGACTGTGTGCATGAGGATTGTTTATCTTGATGTCTTTGATTCCACATGCAGTCTCTGTGCCAGCTATTCCCTCAGAGAAAGCGAGGCAGGTGACAGCTGAGGGAGTGGGAAGCTGGTGGACTAGAGTCAGGGAATCACATTCTCCATGCTCCCCTGCTTTTCTAGATGAGCTTGCGTGCATTCTCTACTTCTTAGGGTCTCCATTTCCTCGTCTTCACAATAGAAAACATACTTTCCCACCCATAAAAGAAAACAAAGGCTGGAAGGAGAAAGGTAAAAGGCAGTGGATACTTGTTAAAAGTTAGCAGAGTTAGTCTGAAGATCATGTTCTACTACGAAGTGATCTTGGAAATTTGGGAAGACCCATTTGGAGCTCATATTAGAAAAAATATTTTTCAGCTACAATAGAAAACTCTTTTGCACTTTATATGTAGTATTCTCTTTAGGTATAAAATGCCTTTGGAAAAACTTTCTTTTCATATTCATACATGATACCACATGAAATTTCTTATATTTCATTTTGGATATTTGGGGAAATGAAAGGGTAATGTCTCAATCATTTGATAAAGAATACCATACCTGCAGGCAGGAAGTGAGTAAGAACCCTCTCTTCAGGCATTTGATAGTATTATTGTCTTTTATGAAGTGGTGGTATTTTTTAATAGTGAAAAGTTGTCCTTTCTAACTGCAGCCTCTTCAGAAAAGGCCCTTTAAAAAGAGCAATGATGCAAAGAGAAGGGAGGAAGCGTTTTTGCACTGTCTGAATGGAGAAAACGACTGCTGGTTTATATTATTCAGAATTAAGCCTGGGCTATTTGGGAAATTGAAGCCATTTATTAAAGAAAGAAATGAATGCACATTAATGTTTTATTTATTACTCATAACTTTGTTTTTTAATTTGCTTAAAATTTTGAATTGAAGCAAAAATACTGTCATAATATAAGTCAGAAGTTACAAATATAAGCATATGAGTGTTAAATCCATTTAGGATGGCCATTTAGGGAAAGTATATTAAAGTAATTTAATAGAAATATATTTTATGAAAATGATAATGTTTTTAGTGTCCCCTGCCACCAAAGATGAATGAATAATAGTTGGCAGCTACTTAGCAAAGTATGTAAAAAGAGATCAGTCCTTTTAACCAAACGTGAAAGATAGATTAGAACCATAATGTATAAATATATAATGCTGGCATAATAAAACCTGTAACAAGCAAATTTATAAGATTAAGGAAGTGCCTATTGCCTTGAGTAATAATACTGGTATCATCTTGATAAGGTTATTTATCATTGCTGCCTGTTATATGAGGCTGTATAGGTACATGAGGAAGAATATTTATGAGCTTTTCTTTGGAAAAGACATTTAGTAGTTTTTTCTCATAGTTGTCATTTTGGGATTTTAATTAAAAACTGTATTATTGATGAGGAATATATATTTTTCTGTTTGGCAATTCCATGTCATATATGTTACCTAATTTTAGAACTTGAATTATTTCCATTATTTGAATTATTACTTGAATTATAAAGGAATAAAATATGTTTACCAGACCTGCTTTTCTGAGACATCATAAAGCATATAGAAGAAGATTCTGTTATACACTCCTGTCAATCAAAAAGACTATGTGTTAGTCTGGGTAGCCTAGAGAAACAAATCCAGAGACACTCATGTGTAAGACAGAGCTTTATATCAAAGAGCAATTGTGTATTAAGAAAAGATCCCAGCCCAGTCCAGATCAAGTCCTTAAGTCCGATATTAGCCCATATGTCCAATACTAGTCCACAAATTCCTCTTCAACTCACGCAGCACATGCAATGATGCCAAATGCAGGAAGATCACAGGTTGGTGGGTAGGAAGTCCTGTGGATCCAAATGGTGGTAGGCGCATCCCCAGGCTCTGGCTGTCATCAGGCTGGCTACATGTGTCTCTTCAACATGAATGTGTAGCAGCAAATCTGTCCTGCCTCCAGGGAAGAAGAGAGGCTTTGACCTGGCTGACAGGCTAGACTCCACCTCTTCATTCTGTTTATCAAGTTGAAATGAAATTGTGTAATTACCATAGACAATTGTAATCAAGTAACTCTAGAGATGGGGATCTGGTATTCTTAACAGACAAGCGGTCTTCAAAAAGTTCCTGGAAACATTCCATTAATCTTTTAAAAAACGGATGTCTTTCACATACTTTTTGAAGCCCCCTCATAGAATTGTCTCAGAAATAAACCAGGTGTTACATGTGTCATTTCTTTTTAAACTTAAAACTTCAGAATAGCTGCATACTGCAATTTTCAGAGGGTAGGCATCTAGACAGAATAGGTGTTTCTGGGGAAACAGACCTAGCTGGTTTCTCAGACTGGTGCCATTTGCCACAGGCCAGGATGGACCTTTAGTCATCATCCTTGCAAGATGGTGTTGTCTCCTACAGAGTAGTTCTCTTTTGGGGTCAACTTGCATAATCCATTTTTGTGAACCTGATTTTATGAATGTGCACATGTATATATAAATACAAAAATTTATGGTGAAGAATTGAACAGGAAAGTTGCACTTGGCCCACCAAGCCTTGAGGACAATATTCTCGCTCAGAGCAGCCAATCCACAGAGAAGACTATATGGCTGTCCCCACTATGAGACATGACATCCCTCACCGACTCATAGCCTTACAGAGTACAACAATGGAGATACACTGTGGGAATTGTGCCGGATCTGATCCTACCACACTGAGGCAAAACACTAAGGGTGTGCAACAGAACACCAAGAGGAACAGAGCAATGAAGTCCCCAGGGAATACCAAAAATAGACTTTGGGGCCAGGGCATGGCACCCTATCAGATAAGTCTGGAAAACACTCCTAAAGGCCAACAAACAGTCCTTGAAAAACAGACTTTTCATTGTTATTGTTGTTGTTGCTGTTTCATTGACTTTTTGTTGTTGTTGTTTTGTTTTCTTTTCTTTGTTTTGCTCTGTCTTGTTTTTGTGCACGTTATTATCTTCAAAGCTCTGTCTAAAAAAGATAGGCTGGATGAACAATCTGGAGGAGAGAACAATGCGACTGACGGTTCTGGGGGGACATAGGAGAGGAGCAGGTCGGGGGAAAGGAAGTGGTATTAACAAACCCAGGGACAAGGGAACAACAAGTGATCCAAATCAGTGGTGAGGAGGGTGTAGGAGGCCTGGAAGGGTGTGATCAAGGGTAATATAACTGAGAGGAATTGCTGAAACCCAAATGAAAGCTGAGCATGATAGTGGGACAAGAGGAAAGTAAAAGGAAATAGTGGAAAGAATGAGGAGGCAAATGGGCATTTATAGAGGTCTAAATAAAGGCATGTACATATGGAAATATATTTACATATGATGATGGGGAAATAGATCTATGTGCATATATTTATAGGTTTAGTATTAAGGTAGCAGATGGACATTGGGCCTCCACTCAAGTACTCCTTCAATGTAAGAATACTTTGTTCTATTAAACTGGCATTCCATGATGCTCACCTTCTAGGGTCTTAAAGACTTGCAGGTAAACAAGCAGCCATCTAGCTCAGAAGCAACAAAGCCCACATGGAAGAAGCACACCAGCCCATGTGATCACCAGGTGCTAAAGAGATCAGTTATCAGGCATCAAAGAACAAAAAAATCATATCATTGTGTGCTCACCTCTGTGATACAAACGTGTGCATAAGCAAATGTGGTGAAGAAGGCTGATGGTGCCCGGCTATCAAAAAATATAGCGTCTGGGGTCTTAAAGGCTTGAAGATAACAAACGGCCATCTAGCTCAGAAACAACAAGGCCCACATGGAAGAAGCACACCAGCCTTCGTGATCATGAGGTGTCGAAAGGATCAGGTATCGGGCATCAAAGAACAAGAAATCAGATCATTGTGAATGAGGGGGGAGTGCAGATCGGGGACCCAAGACCTATCTGTAGGCAACTCGACATCCCTTTACAGAAGGGTTGTGTGGAGCAGACGAGTCAGTCAATGCAGTGTAGCAACAAAGAAACATACAACTTTCCTCTAGTTCTTAAATGCTCCCCCCCCCCACACACACACACACACACTATCATCATCTCAATTCTACCTTACATATCCGGCTAGATCAGAGGATGTACACTGGTACAGATAGGAATTGGAAATTCAGGGAATCCAGGACAGATGATCCCTTCAGGAGCAGTGCTGAGAGTAGCAATACTGGGAGGATGGAGGGAGGGTGGGGTGGAAGGGCGGAACTGATTGCAAGGATGTACATATGGCCTCCTTCCTGGGGGATGGACAACAGAAAAGTGGGTGAAGGAAGTGGGTAAGATATGACAAAATAATAATCATTTATAAATTATCAAGGGATCATGAGAGAGGGGGCCATGGGAGTGGCGGGGAAAAAATTAGCTGATACCAAGGGCTCAAGCAGAAAGCAAATGTTTTGAGAATAATGATGGCAACAAGTGTACAAATGTGCTTGACATAATGGATGTATGTATGGATTGGGATAAGAGTTGTACGAACCCTCAATAAAATTATTAAAAAAAAAAAAAAAAAAGGCAAGTTGCACTTAGCCCAATCAGTGCATTCTCTCCTATAGAAAAGTTGTTGAGAAGCAGCTTATCTGAAAGTTGTTTAGCAAGCCTGGGAAATTCTGATCATCTTAAGTAGTATCTCTGCAATAAAGATAAATCGAGGGATTTCTCATCCATTATAAGGTTCTCCTTACCAAGGAAACTGTAATATTTAAATCTAGTCAGTCATGATTTCTCATCTGAATAGTGCTTGCATATGCATCATGCATTTGTCCTTCTGACTTTTCCATCATATATTTCCCCGAGTACTTTCTGTTCATATAGTCTTTTATCTAGACCAGAATATCATGAAATCAATTAGGCTTTTGCATAGTAAAAGCACATTCTAACCCACTTTCCTGAGATTATTACTCTCAGATTGCTTTGCTGATTGTTGGAGATGTTCCAAAGCTATTTAGTCACACATTTCTAAATCTCATGATTTTTTCCATAAACTCTCCCCGGATCTACATTGAACTCACATTTTTAAGGTTTTGATTTAGGGATATCTTATTATTGCCTCACTGTATATAGACTACACTATAATCCTGGGAAATATGGGTGAGAGGTTGCTTGTAGGCGTTTCCAGGAAACCACAGCCATAATTTGAAAATGGTAAGATGTCACATGGAAAGACTTAATTTTAATTTGTCTAAAAAATGTTTTCTCTTGGAAATTTGGGAGGTTATGCATTGGTCTGGTAACTGCAGGGTCAGCAGTTTGAAACCCCCAGCTACTCCCAAGGGTGAAAGACGGGCTTTCTACTCCCAGGAAGAGTTGCAATCTCTGAAACTCACAGGAGAAGTTCCACCCTGCCGTATCCGGTCACTAGCTGGCATGGATTCTATGGCAGTGAGTTTGAGAAACAATCTGGATCCCACAAGTCTTGTAATGGTGGGGTCTATCTTTCCTGCTTACTCACCCGCATTTGTCCCTGGAATATGTATACTGCTCTGCAGACCTGAGTTTTGTTTTGGGTAGAAATGGACTAGTTCAGGTTATAAGCCAGGTCCTCTGGATTTGGTTATTGTAATTTAGTATTGGTTCTTAGGTTTTAGAAGGTAAGATAGGCAATTTGGAGATGACATTCTTTACCCATGTGTATTTGAAAACTATTACTTGGTCTCTACATTTTGTTGTGCTTATTTAAAAAAATATTTTCATTAGTCTTAATCTTTTAGTCTTTTCTTTTTTTCTTTTACATTTCACATAAGAAGAGAACCATATTTCAAATTTTACCTAATGCTTCAAGTTTGGAGTTTCAGTTTGCATATTATGTCTCTTTCAACTGTATGTAGTCAGTTATACCGTTTCTCCTTATGCATTAGCAAATTTTATTGTTAAATTACCTAAATTTGGATAGCAATTCTTTCAGGGAGTTACTTTACAGAGGCAGATACAATGCTTGATCCACATTATAATAGTTCATTTTTAATTTTCTCTTATTTCTTAAAGCAGCTGTTCTCAACCTGTGGGTCACGGCCCCTTTGGAGGTCAAACGACCCTTTCATTGGGGTCGCCCGATTCATAACATTAGCAAAATGACAGTAATGAAGTAGCAGTGAAAATAATTGTATGGTTGGGGGTCACCCCCACACGAGGAACGGTATTAGAGGGTCGCGGCACGCGGAAGGTTGAGAACCACTGGCTTAAGGGCAGCCTGTGCCTTCCTCATTCTAAAAGCATGTTTGATGCCACAGGTAGTAACAGTGTATGTCTTCCAGCCTAGACCTACCCTGTGACTCAAGGGGAGGGGCAGCTTAAAAAGTGTGTGGAAAAATTCCATGATATTTTCATTTCATTTTCCACAAACTTAAAATAATACCCCTATATATTTTTTTAAAATTTAATCTCTTCACTATAAGGAAAATATTTTATTTATTTAGAGTTTTTTTGTTTTGAATTTTTTTCTAATGGCTAATGATATATACTATATATCATTTTAGAATATTGATGTTATATACAAAGGAGCCTCAAAAAATTCATGGGAAAAAAGGAACATGGAATTTTCCCATTTTTTTGACAACTCCTCATAGATTATTACATTGGCAGTATTGGTCATTTGTGCTGCACTTACATTTTTATAGATAGACATTTTTCCAAGCTCAAAACCTCAAGAAGGACAGAAGAGTGAGGGGAGGAAAAATGCAGGGCTCACACTTTCACCATCTGTGGCCATCACTTACTCATTATTTCAAGAAAAGAAGATGTCTCTGGTAAGTCTTACTTTAAAGTTAGATGACATTTTTTTGTTTGTCTAAACTTGTGTTTTATTGAGTTTTCAATATCAAAAGTGTGACGAGATTAATTTCTTCTAACCTTAACAATCTCATTTTATCTTTAATTTTACATCAGAGTATCATTTTCTTTTTCTGTTAAATCTAGCATTGTCAGTTTAATAAGCAGCTTCAAATATAGCGTGATCATGATTCTGTTATGGAAGTTGTTACTGGAGTACTGACAAGCACATTTATAGCTCAGAGATACTGTGGGGCCATGTTGTCAGACTTGAAAAGTAAATAGTAGTTAACAGACAATTAGTATGTGTACTAATACGCAATCTTCACAGTACATTGTGAAGTAAGGAAAATAACAAGGAAGATGCAGAAGAGTTTGTAAATCAAACATAAATGTACATGTGTACATATTTACATATTCTTGATTATATAAAAAGCATAGCATCCTACTGGAAAGCCATCTAAGAAACTAGGAATAAGTTAAAAGAAAACTTGCTTTCTCCTCTGTATCTTCTAATACTGTTCCGTTTATTTTTAACTACTGGTGGTTCAAACCCATCAGTTGCTCTTCAGGAAGCTGATGCGTGTGCTTCCGTACAGATTGTCTGTCTCTGCTCCAAGGGTGGTTATGTGTGGGAATCTGCTCCACACAGTGGATTTGGTGGGGTTAATGCCCCTTGGAGAAAAAAATATATAGTTTCTAAAAATGGCCACACCTCATCCTTCCCATAAATCCTTAAGACTCTTGATTTTTTTCCCCCCTTGTATACAAAAGGGAGAATATATCTTATTGAAATATTGGCAGGTTGAAGCTTCTGGCTAAGTTTAATTCACTTGAATTCCATTCCCTCTGACATTACATTGATTTCAAACAGGCTAGATCGAAGCCTGTTTTTCTTATTCTCGGTCTCTATCCTCTAAGCTACATAACAAAGTTTTTCTTCTGGTTAAGGTCTAATATAGATGAATAAATAGTTTTTAGCTTATCTTTATAACCTAATAAGTATTTTAATTTTGATGGTCAAGTTCTCTGATTAAATATACAGAAAACATTTATTAAGAAAACCAATCATTCCTTTGGATTAATTTTCAAATAAAATGCCTGTAAATAGGAATTTTAAATTCAAACTTTCATGTAAATTGTAACTTCATATATGTGTTAAGTATGCCTGTATATGCACAATTTGGCCATGTGTAGATGTACAATTGAACTTCCAGTTACTAAGAAATTTGATGGTGGGTGTTTTATTTGAATAAAGCTCATTCATGTAGTCATGATATGAAGCTTCCTGTATTATATTGCATTTTTATAATGAAGGGGATAAAGAGATAAATCTTCATGTATGTCTTTTGCTGTTACTTAGTTCTATTTTGTGTGTAATGTGAGGGTGTAATTAGCTGCATCTCCCAGGAATTTGAGTTGGTCTTGCTAGTTAACCACAAATTAAACATGCCTAAGGACTAATTAATCAGGAGGAATAATACAATTAGCTTTAGGTAATTTGATGCCTCATATCAAATAACCCTGATATTATGCACACATGGTGCACCCTAGCAGAGAGGGGGGAGATATTTAATGAAAGTGTTGCTTTAAATCCCTTTTCTGGGAATGTGTCTACATTCATGAGAATACAGTCCAAATTCAAACTTTCAAAATATATTGAAAGAGAGCATCCTGAAATCACTTAGTGCCGAGTGATTAAACGCTGAATGCTTAAAGTATATTTTAGTTTTACATGTTTTAAATGTATTTGGAATTACGTTTGTTTTAAAGAGATTTGTAAATATTTAACACTGTCCTTCGGAATCGACTTATAGCAGTGAATGTTTTGTTTTGATCCTTAAAATTTAACATAATTCATTTTAAGTTCAATAGTAGAAAAAGGATGGCAAATCTTATACTTATTTTATGGAGAGCCAATTTTAAACGCTCAGTAAAAAAAATTCTCAAAAATTCATTATAAATGCACTGTTATCACTAAGCATTTAGGACATGTGCTTTTAGGAACTTATATAAACAAACACCGTATATTATTTGAAGTATGTAAAATGTTAGATTCATTACTAGGTTTTTAAGTGGATAGAATTAGAGATGAAGATTGAATTCTTAGTTAAAGCTGGGTGATTTTTGTGGGAGTTCTGTAATGTGGGTTTTGTTTTGCTTTTTAATGTGAAATTTTTAGTGAAGATTTATTTCCGTGAGAGATTTAGTACGTGGAGGTTTGGGACATTTAATCTCTGTAGTGTATAGTGTTAAAAGCTGTTCTAAGCTCACTGGTTCTTTTGCTCTTGTTTCTTTAGAAGAACATAGCTGAGAACAGGACGCTGCCTCTCACCACAGTTGGCATGCACTTATCCCAAGCGGTGAAAGCTGACTACCCACTCGATATGGAGCGAGCAGGCCTGACTCCAGAGGTTCAGAAGATTATTGCCGATGTTATCCGAAACCCTCCCGTCAACTCAGGTGATAAGCACGGCCCTCATCTGCAGTCTTAATGACTGAGTCATCAAACTCCAGATGAAGTAAACACGCAATCCATTAATACTTTGGCATGAACATCGTTAACCCTGTGTGCTACGACAAAAACCTTATTCAGTAGTCCTGTGTACAGTTTCAGAAAATCGGCCTTTCTTGTTCACTAGTATTGAGACATTGTCATTGTCTTTTACAGCCTCACATGACAATTTCCCCACCCCACCCCAAATAGTGCCCTTCCATCCCTCTTAAAGTTTTTACCTCTTCGCTTGAAAAGGACACATTCCATATTCATTCCCAATAGCATACTGACTCCAAGTTCTATCCATGCATTTTGATGATTTCTTATCTCCTTCCGTTTGGTAGCCTTTCTGATCAGCACAGTCACCATGAAGTCCTAGGAATGGACCAGATTGTGTAGGGCCCTTGCCGAGGACTTTCCTGCCTCTCGCTGTGCTGTCGAACTTAGTGGTGCTCGTGTAAATCCAGTCCCTTTGCATGCCCTGTAAAATTCTTTGTCTATTTTCAGTTTATGATCACTGGCTTATAGAAGGAAAGATGAGGTACATTAAAGTATTTCTTCCTTTCAGATGTATAAATGTGAACTGGTTGTGTTTATAACCCAGTAAACCTGAGATTTCAAGACAGGGCAGTAATCATACCTAAGTCTTACCTTCAAAGCTGCAGTGCAAATCATTTCTTTTTATTGCCTCAAATTCTTCCCCACTTGGGAATAACTATAAGGTTCTCGCTAAGAATTTGGAAATAGGGGAAACAAGATCATCTCCTGGCAGCACAATCAATACTGTGTTTAATTGATTGGAGAAAGATATACAAAGTACCTTACATAGCAGTATTATGCTCAGGCTGGAGCAAGACTTGCCTGAAAGCCTGAAGGAAGAACACAACTGTCAGTTGCAGGGGAAGCAGAGGAGAGGGAGGGAGGGAGGGACACAGATCCAATGTGGGCAGTGACCCTCTATGTTCCAGGAGTGGGGAATGGGGCTCAAGGAGACTGGGAGACTTCAATGATAGTAGGGTCCCTTTTGTAAGTTACGCCAACTCATTAACAACTAATTCTGCTTCTTTATCACCCCCTGACTTTCTGCTTAACATTGAATTTTCCATATCTGTCTATAGGGAAAATGCCTTCATGTCAATCTCAGACAGTATCCCTGTGATAGTTGTGATCTTATCATTGCAAATCAGTTAATCAGTGTTTGGGGGACTTAGTTAAATTCGGTTTCTAAATCAGTAAGGCTGTGGCAAAATAAGCAAGGTAACTTACATGTGAGTCATGTAAGAAAGCTTGCCAACTCTTCTAATGGTATCTCAATCTTACTGCAGCAGCCATTTCACTAGGAGTTAGAATTGAAGAAAGAAAACAGTAATTACTTTGTAGGATCAATTTTGGCTTTATAAACCTTCATTTCTCCAAGGCAAAGTAAAATAGGATTTTGGGAAAATCCAAGACTCAATTGCTTTCTTGATTTTCATACTCTGGAATTACTATTATTTTTGAAATAAGTTTATTTTCTCTCAGGATTTAAAAAGATATGTATCTTCCAACAAGATGTTGAGTGGCAGGCAGTATTCTCTGAAAGGGTTTGTGTTATTTTTCTTATTTCTCTTGATAGTCATGTTTGTTGTCATTTGGCCCCTCTTTTACATCATGAAAACCGACAGATGGTGTAGCTTAGTAAGAACCAAGGCTGTCAATAGAGCTATATAAAGCCATTAAATAGGTATACATAAAGGAAAGCGTAAGAGCTATATTTCATGGAAATATATAACAGAATTCAGGGAGATTATAAATAAATGTATATATTCCATCTACTAAAGATTTCTTGAGCAAATACTCTTGAATGATATAAATGGGTGTTCTAATCTCAACTCATTGTTGGCAAGGGGAGATGATAACAGAATCAGGTTATACTATTCAGCCATGTATTAGCATCATCTTCTTTATTTGTCTTAATTGTGTGTGGTAAAAAAATCGACTTGTTATTAATTTGCTGTCTAAGTCATGTAGTTCTGAAGTTAGATTTGGAAGACAAGTGGGAAATGATTACATAGACGAGAAGCTGAGGCCTAAGCTCCACTGCTGTCTCGTCCGTGCTGACTCAGCGCAACCCTATAGGACGGAATGGGGCTGCGCCAAGGGGCTGCGGCTGCTGGTCTTTACGGACGCTGACTGTGAATCAGCTGGTGTGCTCTAACCATCAGCCACGGAGCTCGTGGTGCCAAACAACAGCGAATCTACTGCCGTGAAGTTTATTCTGACGCGTAGTGTTTCCTAAACCATCAAGTTTGACAAAGCAGGCAGCAGCTTCTTTTTGGCTCTTAGAGCTGCTGGTGGATTTGAGCCAGTGACCCTATGATTGGTAGCCCCTGCTTATCCCACAGGCCAGCAGAGTGCCTTTCCTTGAGGAGAAGAGCTGAAATAGTTCTTCAGATACCATGTACGAGGTTAGGGGCTGAACAAATTTCCTTTTCACTGCTGCACCTTGAGGAACCCTGGTGACAGACACCGTGGTTATGCTCAATGCTCAATGCTAACTGAAAACTCTGTGGGCCAGAGCCACGGGCTGCTCCGAGGAAAAGGATGAGGCTGTGCTCCTACAAACAGTCATGCAAGCTTCATGGAGCAGTTCTACTTCGTCTTGTAGGGTCTCTGTGAGTTGGAATAAACTGGAAGACAGTGGCTTTGTGTAATACCTTGTTAGGGAAAGTTGTGCGGCCAACTAACTTAAAGGAAATAAGCAATTTCTGATCCTGGTGTAGGAATTGGATTGATATACCTCTAACTTGCTGAAGAAAAATAATTTATATTCCACTTAATATCTTTGTACTTAAAAGTACCCTTTATATTTGGCCTTATGTTTCAATCTTATGTTTGATAGTTTTAAATATTAAAATATTAAATCCAGGTCAAATATATAAAACACAAGAAATTCTCCTTTTAGCGATCAAGTCATTTCCGACCCATAAGGGAACACAGAACATAGCCTAACAGAACAAAGCACTGCCCAGTCCTGTGCTATCCACACAATTGTTCCAATGCTTGAGCCCCTGTGGCTAGGCTTACTGCCCTGTGCCCATCTCACTGAGAGCCTTCCTCTCCTTGGCTGCTCTTACAAACATTGCAGACTTTCAGTTAGGAGCTAAGTGACTGGCTGCGAACTGAAAGGTCAGCAAGTTGCGCCCCCCAGCCACTCCCTGTGAGAAAGACAGCAGCCTGCTTCTCGGAGGATTTGGTCTTAGAAACCAATTGGAGCAGTCCTCTTCTGTCTCTGGAGTTGGAACGGACTCCGTAGTGGGCTTTTAGGTGCAGTGAACTTTAGCTGAAAGCGTTACGTCTTTACTTTTATACACAGAGTGAGTGAGTATAGCATTGAGAAAATCTCCATCAGAGATATTAAATTGAAACTCCAAACAAGAGTCTACTTTTAAACATTTATTTCATCTTTCTGTCAATGCACTATATGGAGGTAGTTTACATAACTTGAATCAATATATTATTCTCTACACTTATTATTCTAATAACACATTGTTTAGAGTGTTTAAGATCTATATTATTCTAAATACTTCAAAAGCCAACTGGTGTAGCTTTTAGTTAGGTATTGGAAGGCTAACCACAAGGTTGGTGGTTCAGATCCACTAGCTGCTCAGCAGAAGAAGGATGATCTGATCCAATAAAGATTTCCATATATCTCCTACAGGTTGGAATCAACTTGATGGCAGTGGGCATTTTCTTCCCCCCACTGAGCCAAAATAAAGGAAGTTAAGATTGTAACAACCACATACTTCAAGTTTTATCTGTTTTGACAATATATGTATTCATAAGACATCTGTTGATGTGAGATTTTGCTTTTGGATTGTTTTCCCTTAATAAACAGTATTACATGCGGGGGTTTCAAAAAGTACTTGGAGAAAATAGAATTAAAGTTAATGAATTTTTTTCTACAAATATTTTGAAGTCCCCTTATATTTGCTATCTTACTGGAGAAAAAACATTATCGAATTTTAATGATGAGAGAACTGAAAAAATATGTATAATTCTTATTTTAAAATTTATAATTGAAATTCTACAAATTCTGAATGGAAAACTTTTCCTATATTTTATTATGATATAATCTTAATGAATGCCTAAAAATAAAAGTTAAAATTTTTTTAATGATTATTTTTATGTCATCTTATTTGCTAAGTAGGTTTTTCCTTGTGACTCGTAATATATAAAATAATTCAATTTCTTTTTTTATCCTTTGGTATTCTAGTTTACTACACCCCCCCGCCCATTTTTATGTAACTTTAAGTTTCTTTTATGGAATTGAGAGCCTATGCCTAATAGTAAATTAATCTAGATGTTTATTGAGGTACCTAGACAGTATTTTTAATCATTTCATTCTCCCAGTGTTTATGTGCATGCAACTGGAAAATTAAGAGTGGCTTCCAAGGGACCTTCCACAAAAATAGAGGTAACATGATCTCCTTTAAAACATGCAGAAGTGTAGCCAGTGTTTACCTTTTAATTCTCTAGTTCATCTTTCCAGCACTTATTTGCCTGGAAAGTTAGGGCATGATAAATTTTAAAGCTAGATGACACTCATAGATCTATAACTTTTAAGATAAAAATATAAAGAATACCTATAGAAGTATCTAAGTAAATATATGATATTCTAATGGTAGAAATTGTATTGTAATTACATTATAATAGCTTTAATGTTTATTAAATCGACAATGGTTCAATACCAAAGGCAAAGTTTAGATATCACTATTTCACAGAAAGAAGGCATCCTAATTTTAGAAGTAGCTTAATTCAAAATGGAATAAAATGCCTCGGACATTTTTTCTTCTTCATGTAATTTGTTTAGCCCATGCTACTACTATAATTCTAAGCTTTAAGGATTTTCCCCAGTGAATTGGTTTGTAAATTCAACATTTACAGTGTAGTGAAATTTTAAAAGTATAGTTTACTTATCCAATTTTAAATAGGCACAAAGAAAAGAAATCTAGTGTAACACAGTTGTAGTAGCTGCCTCCAGTACGGAACACGTGTGTGCTTTTTCTAGTGTAGTACTGTACAACATAAGTATGTGAGTCTCGTGTGTAATTTTAACTTAATACCATTAAAAGAGAAAAACATGCCATTAGTTTTAGTAATATTTTATATAGCGTAATATATCCAAAATTAGATCATTTAAACATGTAATCAATATCAAAAAAGTATTAGTAAGATATTTTACATTTATTTTATACTAAGCCTTCAACATTGGTAAACAGTTTGCATTTTAGCTTAGCTCAATTTAGATACTAAATTTTAATTTGAAATACTTGTTTTATATTTAGAATTCAAAAAATTTTCAGTTGGGAAAAATATATCGTGTGTCCAAATTCAGATATACTTTCTAAAATTTTCTGACCACTAAATGGGAGCATCCGTTTTTAAAGTTTGATGTTAAATTAGTTAAAATCAAATCAAATTAAAAGTTCGATTTTCAGTCATATTCCTTGCATTTCAACTTCTCAATCAGTACATGTGGCTAATGGACCTTGTCTGTGTTGGTTATCATAGTTCCGGAGATAATTTGTCAATATGTAACAAAATTTAAGTTGTGTCCAACCTTTGAATGCTAGTCCTACTTCTAGCAATCAAGAAATACGGGGGAAAATGTGTGCAGTATGTTATTCCTCAGGATTTTATTTCAATGTAAGATTGAAGACAAATGAAAGCACTCATGGATGAATTATGATGCATACATACAACAGTAACTATTCCTCAGCTACTGAACAATGAAGTGAGTTTGGTGGAATTCAATGACGTTAGGATGGTAGACCAACTGAGGAAGAGTTCCTAGCTCGGTGGTGCGGATGGTTGCTGTGCTCTGAACCTGACCGCAAGGTTGGAGATTCAAGTTCCTCCAGAGGTATCTAGGAAAAAGTTTCTAAAAAAACACCAGCCATTGAATAACTGATGCAGGAGTGCAGTTCTACTTTGAACCACAGGAGGTTGCAATGAGTCAGGATTGATTCAATGACAACTAGAAGTGGTGGTGAATTAATTGACCAAAGGGACAAATCAAATTTTAATCTGACTGACAGATACAAGGAGGCTCAGAAAGTTCATGGGCAAATGAAGTTAAAAGATAATAGAATTTGTCACAAATTCTTGTCCCCTCATATAATAGTGTCATTGCTATTTTTATGACATACAGTGGTAATCTTGTCTTTCTAAGACGTTGATTAACACCAGTCTTACATTTTAAAACGTTAATTCAACTTCAGTTTACAGTTTAGGGAAAGAGCACTGGTACTTAATTAGCTAGCCGACTGCCTAATTCCTTCTTGGGTGTAACCTTCTGACACTCCTTCTTCTTTTTAATTTAAACTGCCGTGTTTTAGGAAGCCCTAGAATAATGATGAGATTGGGTCTTTGGAAGAAAAGATCAATATCAACCTGAAAACTCTAATGAATTAAAGACCACCTTTTCAGGTGTCATTTAAAAATCCTTGGTATCTGATTGGTAATTTGAATGAAGTGTTAACAATGTTGGATGCCCGTTTTATGAATCACACAAAGATGAGTGGATAGGTTCTAGGCTGCTTGGTGTTTCTCCACTGCCCAGCTCTGCCCGTGAGTGTGGGGCTGGAGGAAATGCCGGCACCATAAATCGCCCCTGGCGGGACTGCCGCACTGCGGCGGGTTTTACATCCGGCGGCGTGAAGAGACTGGCAACAGTTAAATCGTGTTGTGGAGCTACAGAAAAGAAAAACTAAGTTCCTTGGTTCTGAAAATAAAACATCTTTCCCAGAAATAATGCATTTGAAATAATTCATGTCTTTTGCCATGTTATAATATCCAGTGTGTGGAGCTTTTCTCTTCGCACCTTTTTAAAGAAGTAGTTATCTTCAAGTTTTTAATTTATATTGGGGATTTGAAGCATATATTTCATTAGAAAGAGTTCTGTAAATGGTTGTAATTCTCAGAGCAACCCACAAAAGGCAGTTTGAAATGTAATTTATGCAAGTCAACAGTGAAGGGGTCACGGGACATGTTCTGCTCCATTTGTGTTCTCTTGGACCATAGGCCTTTGGAAGATGGGACAATTTCTTTCCTACAAAATATTTCACCGTGTCCAACTCTTAGGCTTTCTAAAATGTTCTGTAGATTTGTTTTAAAAGATTGTTTTTCTTCATCTTTACAGATAGGAGTAAAATTAAACTAATTAGAACATTTGTGCCTGCAAACATTGACACGCACCTTATCCACATGGCAGTTGAGACGCTGGGGAGAGATGGTGACAGCAGAAAGCTGAGCCGGCTCTGCTGCGACTGCAGTGACAAGAGATGCTTCCCCGACTCTGCAGAGAGCTGTGTACTTTCCACGAGAGCCAGGAAAGAAGAAGGCACTAACACGAAGGTGTTAATTATATGTAGAATTAAGTGTTTGGTTACTCCATTTGCATATTCTAATATAGAATACATTATTTTTAGAATTGGTACAAATTCTGATGTAAGCTTCTTTATTGGTGTGCTAGCTTTTCTTTGCTTTTAGTAAATCTGGTCTGAGAAAGGTAATTTTTTTAAAAAGATAGTAAAGGAGGAATATCCATTTATTTATTAAGTTTAGTATAGAGAACGTCCGCTGAAATTTCACATCTGTCTCATATCTACTATATATCTGGCCTGGCAATTTTTTTTTCTTTCAGAGTTGTAGATAATACTGACTAAGTATATCACACTTAGTGTGATTAATGAAAATGAAGACAAATTCTATTGTAAATATCAGCAAAATGATTTGTGTCTCAGTCTTATTCACAATGCTCTCTGGCAGTGAGACTGACCTGGTGCAACTCTCAAGGTGGATTGCCACAGGCAGGGGTCAGACATACCTCCTTCCATGCCTTTTACCTTTTTCTCACAGACAACTGTGCCTCCCGGGCCTCTCTATTCCGTGGCTGGGTTTGATCATTCCTTGCAGTAGCCACACAGAACTCAAAGACATTGCTCACACTGATGGGGTTTGTTAGGGAAATTAGCAGGTTAAAATTCAAGTGAGAAAAGCCCTGGATATATTCATTCCATCAGGAGAGTTTCTTCTCTACTGTGCCTACAGGCAAGCCTCTCTCACTTGCCCTCACCTCTTGCTCTAGCATCCACCTGGTTCTGGCAGTGTTACAAAACTTAAGGCTACTAATAAATGCCCAAAGGGCATGCCACTCCGCTATAGGGCTCAACCCGAAGGCACCCAGCTCCAACTCCCCGGGTCAGCAAAACAGTTTCCCCTTAATTGCCAAGAGGCAACCACTTCACCATTGGCCTTATTCTGTGGGCTGGGAAGTCCTCCACATTGTCCCCTGCTCCTGGGGTGTTAAAAGCTGTGTCTCCTTGGTCCAGGAGGTTCAGCGTGCAACCATCTTGGGGTCCAAAAGACCGTCTCCCCTGGCAGCTCTTCTCACTTGCTGGTAGTGAAACTTTTCCCCTTCCTGCTTCTGAGTTGGCTCAGTTCATGTTCATCAAGGACCCCAATCACAACCTTGTGACCCTCACAGCTGAATCATAAACTCCTGTCAGTATAGCCCCGCCCGCCCCCTTTCTGACTCAGACCCATCTGCAACACAAAGGTGGTGATATAGGTGGGTTGGTGGGAGTAACAAAGGCCTTGCTGAGAAATGCTCTATTGAGTAATTCACCTCATTGCACAGGGACTATTTAGGGTACAAAGGTGAATTGTTGCTCCTGGTCTTGAGCACATTGCAAATGGCTTTTTACATGAACCAAAAATAACCATGAGTTCAATGTTACTTTAAGTGTTACATTTTATTAAAGTAGCATACTTTAAAAATTACAGCTTTGTGCCTATGTGCTGTGAAATAAATAGTAATCAGAGAGTAACAATGCTTTAGAAGATGACTTTATTAAAAGATTTTATCAATTAGAAAAGTTGACCCCAATATCTTCCCTAATATTAATCTAAAATTGCATGACTTTATCATAAAACTTTATTAATACAAGTTCATTAATAATTCAGAAATTAGTTCCTACACAGTAAGTGCAGCGTGGCATTTGGTGGTTTTTAATGATTAGAGTTTTGTTAACACTTCAGGTTGAAGATGATCATAGATGTTCCACCCGCTGGACATCTTTTTCCCCAACAGCTTAAAAAAACAGCAATTTCTTCTGTACTTCAGTTACGTTTGTAGACAGCCGTGTTTTAGATAACTAAGAAGGGTTCCTCTCAGGGCTGCTAAAGGCAAGGTCAGCAGTTTGAAACCACCGCCCTGGGAGAACGATGAGACTCTCTTCTTGCATCGAGAATGATGGTCTGAAAGCCAAGGAGCAGCCCTCCACTGGCCAAACACCCTGCTGCATTTACTGTGGGGGTATGGAGCTGAGTTCTGAGCTAGGTGTAGGAATGAACTTAAATTAATTAGAATTGCTTACACTATTTTAATCATTGAGCTCGCCATAAAACGGTGTGTACTAACATCTGTGTGCATTAAATGAGTGTAACTTGGCTCCTATTCGCTGCCTTTTATTTCTGCAACCCGTACCAGGTGCCTTACAAACTCCTATTGAAAACACAAATAAATAAAGTCTCATCTTTCTCTAGTTAGCGGGGAGGGGAGGCTGTTAAATTACCGGAGTTTTGTTCCATAACTTCACATTTATTCTTTAGGAATGCTCACATCTATATATTGGCTATCTTTGCCTACCTCCATATTGATCACTTCTCATGAAATAAAATATTTTTCCTCAATTTTTCTACTTTGGTTCTTTGGTCATAATCTGTTGTGAATGTATTGTTGTTATGGTCTTCATAATTTAATCTTTGTTTTTATAATGATTTTTATTGTAATTCTAGTTCTTTTCTGGAATTTCTTCGAGTTTTAAATTTTTCTGCTTTTGACTTTATATTTTATGTGTTGTATTGTTTTTTTTAGCTCCCTTTGAGAAGTTATCGTTTTATTCTGAACCTAAGCAAAATTTTCTAGTGAGATGTATTTAGCCTTGATAGTTTTCTATTGCTCACGTTCACATAAAAGTAGTCTTTCTCTTCTGTCAAAAGGAGGCAAGATCCAGATTTGCTTTTCCAACTTTCCCACGCTCCCGTCTATTGTTTTTATGTACTATTCAGAATGTGGAGACGTGGCTTGTGAGTTATGCTTCTTTGTTATATTTATCGAGACGCCCTCCTTTGTCTCTCTTTCCTCTGCCCTGCTCACTTTTGGTATTCCACTCTTTCTCCTGAGTGGCGTTTCTTTTTCTGGATGGCAGCTTTGACTGGTTAGTAAGTTCATGGGCGCCACTTGCTATGGCATTGGGCCTAAGCTTTCCCACTTTCAGATACTGTTCTCAAAGGATCTGTCCTGCTTTCTAATGAAGACGTGTGTGCTCTTTGGGGCTTCTTAGCTCCTGTTTTGGAATATCCTGTTTTCAGATTCTGTTTGCTGCTGCTTTCTCCTGTACAGATGTGTTACCATGCAAACCTTTGACGGCCAACCCATGCTAACAGTTTGGGTTTCCTGAGGATACTTTAAATTTAGTTTCATTTTCAGTGTCTGATAAAGGTTTTCAGTTTTACCAACTAGTTGCTTGAGCTATTTTAATGCTGGAATTCAGAGACATTTGAAGCTGTGCCACCTCTGCCACCTTTTCTCAGAATCCTTTCCACTGGCGACACACTATTCTTCTTGTTTTTCCGGACTACATGAAAGAGGGGGAGTGATGTTCCCGGCCCCGCCACTGTGTTTGATCATAAATATAAAGTATACAATATTGTTTATAAACTGCTTTAAGACACTGAAAAATGTTTTATGGGCAATGTTGCTATGATCATTATTTCTGGAATTCAGGACTTTAGAGTAATAAGAATTGTAGTAAGCCTTATTCTTACTACATGATTTAACTCTTTTGTATTCCACAAAAAATGTTAAAGGTTGATGGAAAAGATCCTGGCAATTTCTCCATGAGAGACAAGAGTCAAAGAAATGAAGTAACTTCTTGGAATCCACCACCTATTGATCCAAAAAGAGAAGATTTATTCACAGAATCTCATTCACAGGTAAAATTGATTTAGTAAAGTATTTCTCATGAGAAATACTTCAGGCTTGATAACTAATGTGTTTGGGTTTATTTTAGTTATAGATGAAATTAAATCTGCATATAAAACACATTTCTCTCTTTGCTTACACACACACACACACAGAATCAGCAAGTGAGTTGATGTTGTCTATTCTCAATTTAAGAGTAATGATTTTTAATGGAACGTGGAGTATCAAAGAGATGTTAACCACCCTGTAAGCTTTATTATGATGGCTGAGGACTTTAGTCTAACATGGAAGAGGGACCGGATCATGGTTAGGTAACAAAGACTTCAAAATTGAAGTCTCTCCAGAAACATTTGTGGGACTCAAAAGACCCACTCAGTGTGAGTTAACGATGTCTCTTTTTTACTGTGAAAATTATTACAATTCTGGGCTAATACCAAAGGTCATGTTCCGTAGAAATGTTATAGAATATGGAAGATTTTAAATGATGCTCACTCACTCGCTTGCTCACTCACTGACTCACTGCCATGCTGACTCACAGTGACCTTATAAGGGCAGAGTAGAAGTGAATTTCCAAGACGAACTGTGGATGGGAGGAGAAAGCCCTGTCTCTCGCTCTATGAGAGGCTGGAAATTTTGAACTGCGGTTCTTGTGGATTGCGGCCCAATGGGTAACCACCAAGAATAAATTAGGATATGTTGATATTTTCAGGTATTCTCAGTAAACTCCCACAGCAATCCAGTAGGGTTATATAGTATTATTCCTATTATTTGTGTGATAAATGAGAGGCTTATATGCTTTGGTCACATGTTTTACATGTGACTCAATTTGGATCGAAACTTGGTTCTGTCTGGTTTCAAATGCCATGCATTAAGGAAGCCACAAGACTTTTCTTCATCTCTGCTACTGCTCAGAGGTTTTACTCTATTTTCTATCTTAACTGATTTCCTTCATTCAAGGGGTTCACACTTTTAAATGCAAGCAGTTATAGTTGTCTGTGACTGAACAGGAATTTTTTATAATAAGATTTTGGGGAAGCTTAGATATTTTGAAGCTTTTTATCTCTCTGGGACTCCTAGTGGGTTATACGTTGGGCTGCTAATGTCAAGCTCAGCAGTTTGAAACCACCAGCTGCCTCCGGGGCCAGTTCTACCTTGTCCTGTAGGGTAATGTGTCAGGATCAACTCAATGGCAGAAAGTTTAAAAAAATTTTTTATAATATCGTAACCATTTAATTATTTTTGTAAGCTCTGATTTAATATGTTTAAATTAAGATTTTTAATTTTCATATTATAATTTATTTTTATCTTTTTATTGGGAGCTCTTAAAGATATTATAACAATCCATAATTTGTGATGTAGCAACGATGAAAAATACAATTTTTCTCTAGTTACTATATGCTTCCCCCTCCCGCCCATCATGATCCCAATTCTACCTTGCAAGTCTGGCTAGCAGAGGATGTACACTGGTACAGATTGGAACTGGAAACACAGGGAATCCAGGGCGGATGATCCCTTCAGGACCAGTGGTGTGAGTGGCGATACTGGGAGGGTAGAGGGAGGTAGGTTGGAAAGAGGGAAGCAATTACAAGGATCTACATGCAACCTCCTCCCTGGGGAACAGACAGCAGAAAAGTGAGTGAAGGTAGATGTAGGACAAGGCAAGATATGGCAAAATAATAATTTATGAATTATCAAGGGTTCATGAGGGAGGGGGGAGTGGGGAGGGAGGGGACAAAATGAGGAGCTGATGCCAGGGGCTTAAGTGGAGAACAAATGTTTTGAGAGTGATGAGGGCAATGAATGTACAAATGTGCTTTACACAACTGATATATGTATGGATTATGATAAGAGTTGTATGAGCCCCTAAAAAAAGACTAAAGAAAAAAGAAAAAAAGAAAGGTTTAAATTCTCAGGAAAAAAATCCATAATTCAATTAGATCAAGCATAATTGTATAATTGCTGCCACAATCAGTTACAACACATTTTCTTTCTTCTTGAGCTCCTTGATATCAGCTCCTTTTTATCCCCTCCCTCTCCCACCCTACCCCCAGGACCCTTTTACATATGTGTGTGTGTATATCCATAACATATATACACACACACACACACACATAGGCTGTATCTAGGATCCGTTTACCTACAATTCTGTTACTCATTCCCCTGGAGTGGGGTTATCTTGACATCATTGCTATCGGCACCGCCACCCCTTCTTGTTCCCTCAGGGAATCATTACTTCCTTTACTGTTTCTATTGGCTTTCATACAATAAATAATCTTAGTTATGCAAATGAACATAGATGGGTTTAACAAGATTAATGAGGTAAAACTAAGACGATAATAGTAAAGAGAGGAAATATTAAAGAAATAGAGGATAGTTACGTGCTTCATCAGTGCTATAATGCACCCTGGATAGATCATCCCTTCCATGTGGCTCTTCTGTGAAGGACTGTCCAATTATCTTACAGGTGGGTTTGGGGTCTCCACTTTGTCCATGCTCCTTCACATCCATTTGCTTGCTTGTTTTTGAACTTCTGATACCTATTCCCATCAACACTGTATGATCACACAGGCTGATGTGCTTCTTCCATGTGGGCTTTGTTGCTTCTGAGATCGATAGCCGCTTGTTTACCTTTAAGCCTTTAAGACCCCAGATGATATATCTTTTTTTTTTTTTTTTGATGCTGCATCTTTTAATAGCTGGGCACCATCACCTTTCTTCACCACATTTGCTTATGCACCTATTTTGTCTTAAGCGATCATGTCGGGAAGGTGAGTATCATATAGTGCCATGTTATTAGAACCAACCGTTCTTGTACTGAGGTAAGATTTAAGTAGAGAACAAAAGTCCATCTGCTTCCATATTGTATTTACATATTTACATACACATATACATAGACCTATACACTTATATTTATATAATCACATATATACATATCTATATTTATACTTATCTCGATATAATTTTTACTTTCTTCTTATTTCCTCTTCTTTCCTCCTGCTCCACTGTCATGTTTACCCATTGTTCACCTTTCAGTAATCCCTCTTGGATACATTTCAGTTGACCACACATGAGCAGAATGCTATACCCACTTCACCGGCAGTTTTAGAGCCCTTGCTAGTCCCTTGTCACTTTTGTTATTGGCTCACGGCTCGCCCCCCACCCCCACCACCTCAGATGTCCTCCCCACCCAAACTGTCAGCCCTTGCTATCTCCTTAGGATTGCTTATCCTGCCTATTTTATGTAGATAGACATCAAAAGAGAAAAACAAAACAAGAACAAAACACAAAAGAAAAGAAAGACCATGTAAATAGTTCCAAATCTGTTGTCCAGTTAGTTTGTTTTTTTAATCGCTACCAAAATGCCCCTTCTATATTGCTGTACCACTTCTGATCTGTAATATTTTCAGTTCTAAGATAAACCCAATATAGTGAAACCTGTAAGAGGCCTGTTTTTCCAGGTTTCTCATTTTCTGTATCTGTCTGGGAAGGCACACATTTCCACTTTTTATGGGAAATATTTGAGTGTTCCTTCTCTGTCAGGTTTCTACCATACCCAGGGTCTGGCTTTCACAGATTTTATAGTAGTATCTTGCAGTGCACAAAGCTTTCATCTGTTCTCCTGATCTTCTCTTCCTTGTAAGGAAACGGGTCCCTGGGAATAAAATTGCTTATTTACTCAGTTTTGGTTTTCTTTAGCTTTTGCTTATATGTAAGCAGCCTTTCTTTGAATTTCTAACAGCCAACAATGCTTACCCTTTTTAAAAAATAAAGTTTTACAGAATTTTGCTAAGAAACTTTTCTATTTTTCTGTCCTCAGATATATAACAGTTGGTGAACCTTATGTACCTTATGTTGGTGAACAGTTGGTGAACCTTATGTAACTTAAGCTAACAGACACATTGTCTTTAGACGAAGGAATCATATCATATTATTCTTTGCTGTTGACTCCTGGTGACCTTATGTCACAGAGCAAGCATCGCCTGTCCCTGCTCCATTTTCATGATCGTTGCTATAAAATCCTATAATTTAGTCACAATGACTAAATTACCTCTGCTCAAGCGTAAGGTGTGCTCCTGTTAGAATGATTTCTCTGTCATACTATTAGAATCTCTGTCATATTAGAATTATTGCTCAAACGGAAATAACACAAATAGACCTGTGGAACTGTTACCTACTGATCATCTTTTTCATCGGCCGATGGTATTATATATAATGATTGTGTTTTCTTTTTAAAAACGTTGTCAGAACAGAAAAGTAGGTGAAGGGAGATGTCGGACAGGGCAAGATATGACAAAATAAGAATTTATAAATTATCAAGGGCTCATGAGGAAGGGGAGAGTGGGGAGGGAGGGGAAAAAAATGAGGACCTGATGCCGGGGACTTAAGTGGAGAGCAAATGTTTTGAGAATGATGAGGGCAGTGAATGTACAAATGCGCTTTACACAATTGACGTGTGTATGGATTGTGATAAGAGTCGTATGAGCCCCTAATAAAACGATTAAAAATAAATAAATAAAAACGTTGTCAGGATGTAAATCTAGAGTTCTGAAGCTTCATTTGGTGCATGTGTCCTTGAAATGATGTGCAGTGTGCTGTGCATATGGACATTTGTCCATTTTACTTGGAAGTGGAGCTATAGTTTCTAGCAGATGCTCAAAAGCGTCCATGAGACCGAAAACATTTTTCAGTTAGTAAAAAATTTTGAGTATCTGCTACCTTGGGCATGCCGCAAGGTGCTTGCTGATGAGCTGCTTTTCTGGTCTGTCATCCAATGAAGGTATTTGGAGTTACAGTCTTTTCACCTACCTAATATAGCACTGAACAGCCCTGTGGGTGCAGTGGTTATATGTGTGGCTACTAACATAAAGGTCGGAGGTTCAAACCCACCAGTCATTCTATGGGAAAGACGTGGTGATCTGCTTCTGTAACGATTACAACCTAGGAAACATTATGGGGCAGATCTTCCCAGCCGCATGGTGTTCCTGTACATTGGAACACCATGGCATTGGACTGTGTGTGTGTGTATTTATATTCCCAGGCAGGTACTTTCCTAAGAACATTGAATTCACTATTTTGGCCAACCCAGGCCCAAGTACATCATGAGTCATAAATCTAAATCTCTAGTATTTTTCTCTCCAAACAAATCATCTCCTCTATAGTTCTATGAGGGATCCCTGGTGATGTATTGTTACACGTTGGTCTGAATCCACAGTTCGAAGCCATCAGCCTTTTGCTCCACAGGAGAAAGACTGGGCTTTCTACACGCATAAACAGTTAACAGTCTCGGAAACTCATAGGGGGCAGTTCTATCCTGTCCTATCGGGTCACTATGAGTTGGCATCAACTCGATGGCAGTGAGTTTGGTTTTTGGCAAGTTCTTTGAATAGGAAGTAAAATGACAAATATATGATATTTTGACTTCTCATATTTTAAGCAAAAAATAAATGTTGTAAGTCTCACTATTATGCTTATTTGTAGAGTGGTGTTGGAAAGGGGTAGCCTTTTCAGAAACATGGGTTAGTTTTTGCAATTGACATACTTCCTCATTTTCTTTCCTACAGACTTCAGCTGAAAATTCAAAGAGAAAACTACCTGAATGGTTAACCAAAGGACACGAATCCTTAGCTAATACCAGCAAGAAATCAAAGACCAAAACAAAAAAGGGTCTTTTTAGTTAGGTTGGAAGTTCCCAGAGGATATATGTGCCTTGCTATGTTATGAAAGAACTATATTGTATTTCTTAAATCAGCCTTCCACTTACAGTATTTGGGTCTGCTGAAAGCCATCATAGACCAGAATGCACAATTAGGTTTCCTTTAAGAGTGCTGTGAGAAACCATGTTAGTGCCCTGCTTTCTAAATGCAATGTGCTGTGAATTGCTGTAACACACAATAGTTGTGTAGTACTTGTGTGATAGAAAATATTCCTCTTATCTAAATCCTATTTTATAAATGAAGAAAGCATGGTTATTATGTAAATTGTCTTTAGAAGAACCTCTTATATATGTATTGTTAAATGGTACTAATGGACCAGACAGGTGAAAGGCAGACCTGACATTCTGTGTTTCATGTATATAGGGAAAATATTTTAACAAAAGATAATCATTTGTACTATGAAGCCATGCACTTTGTATTTGATGCACAATTTTTATTGTTTTCAAATAATTAAAACCAGTTCCCTTAAATGGAATATATATTCAACTTTTGTTGAGTTGATCAATTGTCTTCACTTCCTTTATTTTTGAGAATGCCAGTTTTGATTTTCATCTCTTGATGTAGTATATGTGACTTCAGTATATAGAGCCCAGACTCCAGCAGAGGTGGGTATACTGAAACTTAAAAGCCGTTCCTTGTGGCTTATAAATACTCTCAAAAGCAGTGGTTCTCAACCTGTGGGTCATGGCCCCTTTGGGGGTCGAATGACCCTTTCACATGGGTCATGTAAGACCATCAGAAAACACATATTTCCGATGGTCTTAGGAACCAAGACACTGCTCCTCTATCTGCTCACGTGCAGATACGCCCACATACGAGTACCCGGCATGATGACATTGCACCAACCCCATGACAGACACCCTGTACAAATACAGGTGTATGTGACAGAGTTGGTGCCATAAATGTACTTATGCGGACCAGTAACACGTGTAGAGAGCAGCTACTGTGTAGAAAGCAGCTGCTGTGTTGGAAACAGCTACTCTGTTAAAAGCAGCTACTGTGTTGAAAGCAGCAGTATTGGAGGTAAAATGATACTTCATGAATTATAATTACTGGGTAAATGTAAAATCATCAACTACTGCAAAATATATATATCTGTACCATGGGAACTTAATCTGGATGCTGGTCAGTCTTTTTGTATTCAGCCGGGGTTGATGTGAATACTGCCCCCTTTTGGTAGTAACAGGTTTGTTAAAAAAACAACAAAAAACAATCGTAAATCATAGGAAACTTTAATGAACGGCATTGACTGACCTATGCCATGTATCATCTTTTGTATTATTAAAGCTATTGTTATATATTATTTCATTAGCAAACCATCCCATCACAGTGGATCGTGTAGAGAAGAATGTTAAGAAACGAAAATATAGTGAGGATTGTTTACAGTATGGTTTACCTCAATAATTACATCAGGAATTGAGGAACTGCAATGTGTTATTTGTTGTGAAGTTCTATCAGCCAAATCTATGAAGCCGAACAAATGAAAACATCATTTTGATAGCAAACATCTGAGCTTTGCCAGCAATGATACAAACTATTTTAGAAGCAAAGCCGATGGACTCAAGAAAGCCAGACTTGACACTGGTGGCAAGTACCACAAACAAAACACAGCAGCTGTTGAAAGTTCATATTTGGTGGCACTCCGAATCGCCAGAGCTGGCTGTGAAACATTGCTGAGGATTTACTGTTGCCAATGGCCAAAGACATTCATTGTTCGAGTTATGATTGGAGATGAATGTGTTACGAAATTGAGTGTAATTTCCTTAGCTAACAACACTGTCCACAGAAGAATAGATGGCATGTCTGCTGATATTCTTGATCAGGTCATCCAGAAAATTAAATCTGCTTCACTTCCAATATTTAGCATCCAGGTTGATGAATCTACAGATGTTACAAACTGTTCACAGTTACTGGTTTATGAGAGGTATGTTAATGATGGTGATTTTAAAGATGAGTTTCTTTTTTGCAAACCTCTTGAAATGACAACTACTGTACGTGATGTATTTGACACAGTTGGTTCATTTCTGAAAGAGTATAAGATCTCTTGGGAAAATGTTTGGTGTTTGCACAGATGGTGCTCCAGCTATGGTAGGATGTCGATCTGGATTTCAACATTTGGTACTGAATGAGTCACCAAAAGTGATCAGAACTTACTGCATGATTCATCGGCAAATATTAGCAATGAAGACGCTGCCACAAGAGTTACAAGAAGTAATGAAAAGCATCGTAAGTTATGTCAATTATGTAAAGGTGAGCACTTTAAAGAGGACTGTTTTTGCAACTGTGCAACAAGTTGGATGCGCCAAACAATGCTCTGCTATTTCACACTGAAGTGAGATGGTTGTCAAGAGGAAAAGTTTTAAAACTTGTTTTTGAGCTTTGTGATGAACTCAAAACATGTTTTAATCAAAGCAAGACTGCAGTTTGAAGCACTTTTCAGCGATAAAAGAACTGCAGAAAATAGCTTGCTTGGTTGACATCTTTGCCATCTTGAATGAGTTAAATTTATCACTGCAAGGACCAACTGTAACATGCTTCCATTTGTCTGAAAAGGTCCGATCATTCCAAATGAAACTTCAGCTTTGGCAAAAAAAAAAAAATTGGGTGAAAATAAAATTTACATGTTGCCTACCTTATCTGCTTTCTTTGAGGATTACGATGATAAGTTCTGTGAAAGAACACTTGCACATGCTTGCAGATGAAATTTCATCGTACTTTCCAAATCTACCTGACACCCGTTTGCACTTGCCAGAAGCCCATTCCCAGTCAAAGTTGAAGATGTTCCTGAGACAGCACAGAGGAGTTCATTGAACTTATTAACAGCGATGCAGTGAGAACTGATTTCTCTACAATGCCAGTTACAAAATTCTGGATCAAGTGTTTGCAGTCATATCCTGTTCTGTCTGAGACTGTGTTGTGCCTTCTTCCATTTCCAACAGCATATCTTAGTGAAACGGTTTTCCAGCTTGTTGCTTATCAAGTCTAAATACAGATGTAGACTTGTGGAAGATGATCTTTGTTGTGCTCTTGCCCCGAGAATTTCTGATCTGGTGAGAAAGAAGCTATCTCAACCTTCGCACTCACGTTGGCTTTTTATGCATACTGTCGCAAAATGTCACAATGTAGTTTACTTTCGCTATATTAAGACTGTTACTCATGCTGCACCATGCTTCAAGACAAAATTCCATTTATTTGTAATTAGAAATAAATATTTCAATACAGAATTGCATATTGTTTTTGTGATTAGTCTGCTTTAATTATGTTTAATTTGTAACAATGAAAATACATCTTGCATATCAGATATTTACATTATGATTCGTAACAGTAACAAAATTATATATTAGTAGCAATGAAAATAATTTTATGGTTGGGGGTTACCACAACATGAACTGTATTAAAGGGTCACGGCATTAGGAAGGTTGAGAACCACTGATCTAAAACCTTTGATTGTCTTTAAAAATTAAGAAATAAATAACTTCTGAATAAGAAGCTATATGTTTATCATGTGAAGACACGGAAACCCAGAAAAGTAAAAGAAAAATCACTCATAGTTCTACTGCCAAGATAATCACTGTTAACTCCTATTATGTGTATCCTACTATAATTTTGTATGCTTAATCATTTTCTTAGCTTTGTATATGAATGTGAATAATACTAGATGCACTTAGAATATGAAGCTGATCAGTCAACCAGCTGCCATTGAGGTGATCTCAATGTATAACTGCGCCATACATGTCAGGATAGAACTGTGTTCCATAGAATGTTCAATGGCTGGTTTTTCAGAATCTATTGCCAGGCTTTTCTTCCAAGGCACCATTGGGTGAACTTGAACCTCCAGCCTTTTGGCTCACAGCACCGTAGCCATTTTCACCACTCGGGGACTCTTTAAAGCATAAAAGCCCCATTAATCCCATTTACCCATATCCTATTACCAACCTTTCTAAGAGGTAACTCCTATTATTAATACTTGCTATTAAATATGTGCTATATAGTCCTTTGGAGCCTCTTAGAAAGGATTCAGATTGACAGGAGGGAGAAAGATGAAACTTTCTACACCTGTAAAGAGTTAGTCTTGAAAACCCATAGGTGCAGTTCTACCCTGCCTTATAGGGTCTCCATGAATCGGAATCACTCAGTGGCTGTGAGATTAGTTTTGTGAGTTACAATTCCTTGGAGCCCTAGTGGTGCTGTCAGGTAAATGGTGGACTGCTAACTGCAAAGTCAGTGGTTCAAACCCACCTGCTGCTCTGAGAGAAGGATGAGCCTATCTGCTCCCATAAAGATGTACTGCCTCCATCATCCTCTGTAGAGTCACTCTGAGTCAGAATCAACTTGATGGAAGTGAGGATATATAGATCTTTAGTCGTTTCTAGTTGCTGGGAAAGCACATGGTGCCTGCTAATAAAGAAGGTGAGTGAAAAAGAAGAAAACCCCCTACAAGGTGAATTGACCCAGTGGCTCAAACAGTTGTGAGAATGGCGCAGGACCAGGCAGAGCTTCATTCTGTTGTACTTGAGTATGAGGGAGAACCACCTGAGTAGCACCTACCAACAGCAGTCATTATCTGAGTATATGTGTCTTTATATGTATACCTACACTTGTCTTTGTATATGCGGTGTTCTTCAACAAGCAATTTTACTTCTCATACCACAAAGATCTTTTCGTCTCCACATGTTGGTCTACCTCGTGTTTACACTACAATATAATATTCCTGCCGTGGTGGCAATGTCACCACCTCAAGGTCGGTGGTTTAAACCTACCAGCCGCTCTGCTGGAGAAAGATGAGCCTCCCATAAAGCTTTACGAAGCCTTGAAGCCGTTTATGGCATCTCTGTGTCTGAATGGATTTGGGGGCAGAGGGTTGGGGTTATGTAGGATCCATTTTATGAGTATACCTGAGATAGTTTATTGTGCCAGCCTGGCCGATAAACACAAGTGGGATTAACTGAAGGGCAGAGAGATAAATGGCTTGGTGAACCTCGCCTTTCTTGTCATTTGCTCTTTGATCATCGGACCAGTGTGTAGCTGCCTTGCTTGTTCTGTGCCTCAATTTAAAGGCTACACTACCTCTGGGACACCTAGCCTGTGGATTGTAAGTTGAGGTCACTTTAAGACATCTCTCGAGCTGGGGACTGGCAGTTGGTGACCTGGCTGGCAGTTGGTGACCTACCTTGTGATTGGCTGCTGTGCTGACATAGCCTAGCTCTCTCTATAAATAGAGGAAGATCTGGTAGCAGACTAGACTTGAAGGACTGCTAGTCTCTCACAACTCTCACGGGAGTGAGTTGCATTGAGCCATTTGTAGTGCTTTATAATTTAACTGTTTTATCTCTTGTATTATATATTTATCTGTATATGATTTAACAGTTCATTTCTTGTTATATATCTAATCATCTTTATAAATAAATATATTAAATTATCAGCAATTTGGTTTTATTTCTCTAGAGAACCCTGTCTAACACAATACTGTAATTGATGTAA